CATGTACATACTACCAGAGAGAGGTATTACACATGTATAAATATACATGTGTAATACCTCTCTGTGGTAGTATGTACATGTTTAATTCCTCTCTGTGATAGTATATACTACCACAGACAGGGATAACACATGTATATACTATCACACACATGTATAACCCATGTATATACTATCACAGACAGCTATAACACACGTATATACTAACACAGACAGGTATAACTCATGTAAATACTTTCACATACAAGTATAACACATGTATATTCTTTCACAGACAGGTATTACACATGTATATACTATAACAGACAGGTATTACACATGTATATACTACCACAGACAGGTATAACACATGTATATACTATCACAGAGAGGTATTAAACATGTACATACTACCACAGAGAGGTATTACACATGTATATTTATACATTTTACAATAATTATCCATTATATTTACCCTATACATGTTTTGTACATACATTTATATATACATGTATTACTATATTGACAGTAAGACAGATAATGATAATTGATTGCCTATCACTGTATATATGGACAGGTATTCTGACACAATTTCAACACTATTTAAATAGGTGAAATATAGTGATACATGTTACATTATTAACAGAAAATGGTAGAGGTATTATTTTAATTTCAATGAGAGGGTGAATATATCTCAGGGCTTCAACTATATTTAATAGTGCTTTACCTGGAATTGAGGATTATACACATTTTTAATGTTTTGAATTATGTTGTTAAACGAATAGGTATATATCATTTATATATCCTAGACCAAATAGTATTGCTAAATGTGCATCAAACAATTAATATGCTGGGACCGCTGGATCATGATGTGGAAATTACTTTGAAAAGAACCTGAGGAGTTCCTTGAGTTAGCCTCAATGGTGTTTTTTTCATAGTTACTATTATTTTGCCAGCCTGACAGGAAGGTTAGATTTCTGATTACATAAATATGTTTTACCATGAATTCATATATTTAAATACTTATAAAGTGCATGATGTTACCATGCATACTATCTGACTTGTGCCTTTTTGGTCACACATAAAGATGAATCTACACAACTAGAACCAATCTGATGATGAAATGTGTATCACTTGTCTATAATACATGCGATATAAAAAAAAACTGTGATAGTAAATATATATGTATGTAAACAGTCTGAAACAATTAATAAAAGTTCCTCTTAATGTATGTGAAAGTTAAGATACCTAATTATAAGTTTATAACCAGTCTTAAGCAATCAATATTTTTTTCTTACATGTCTGTGATAGCTAACACAAGTTTATGACTAGCCTGAAACAATAATTAAAAATTGATTACCTACTTGTGATAGTAATATAAGTTTTATAGGCAGTCTGAAACAAGTGATAAGTTTTCCTAACATGTCGGTGATAATAAATATAATTAAATCCACATGTATAATCATGCAGTTTTAAACAATATGTTATTTTTCTGTGACATGTCTGTGAAATTTAACACAAATGTTTACCCAGTCTGAAGCAATGATTAAAAATTCATAACCTGTCTGTAATAGTAAATACAGGTGTAATTATTGACACTGAAGATGGGTCTGAAACAACGTTAGTACATATGTACATGCAATGCTCATGATCTGTGAAAGTAAGTAGCTGTGTATTACCAATCTGAAACAATAAATAAATGTCCATAACCTAAAGTAAATTCCTTATTTTAAATTCTTGTGAATTGTATGTGTTGAAAATGTGAAAATTGGTGTAATATGTCTTTTAATCCACATAAATTTATTGTTAAAAAGAGTTAAAAGTAATTTTACAAGCATTGTTTTAAGTGTTTGAATTCAGGAACCCGCTATCAAAGGCTTCTGGTCGTTTTTGTAGGTGTAGTTATTCAATTTAATAAAATTACTGAAAATAAAAGAAAATCAGGGAAGACAATAAAGATCTAAACATTTTAATGACTAAACAGTAAGTTATACATGCAGGAATTATTTTCCTTCCGTTGTGAAATACATAGTAATAACCCTTTCTCCACCATTTACCCCTATATACCTCCTATTTTTTTAAATAATGTAAATCCCGCTACAACTAGTCGTATATTTTTTGACACTGAACTTCTACTTCTGCTCTCACTTTCACATATTTCAGCATTTATTGAACTGATATACATTAATGCAAAACTATTATTTCTATTGACACTATTTTTCAAAAAATTGTGTCTTTTCATGGTTTATTTTCAAAATTCACTCCATTTTACATAAATTTCCATTTAAAATCCTTAAAATTCTGACAACCTATATTTTTTTGCGGCAAAAAATGTCTTTACTTCAAAGCAATATTACTAGAACATTTGAAGAAATTCTCCTGAGAAATGGTGACACAATCCTATTACCTTAACTTCTTTACCGTGCACAGCTGCCGTTTGCCGCATTCATTTTCAATGGGACACCTCGGCACTTGTCGGGGTTTTTTTCGGTACTTTTCATAATAAATTTATATTTTCCCAATAACAACAATTGATATTGTGTTTACATGTTCAATACATGTACGTGTAAAGAATCTACTTCTATTGGCATTCTTGTTTATTATATTTTATTGCGCGGTTTTAGTTGTGGTTAAAGAAATAAAACACGGAAGTCTAGTTGCAACAAAGTGTATGTAGAGTGTTAAATACTGTAAGTGTTTTTTTTCACATTCATGTATATATCTTGTCATCATGCACATGTGGTTATGATAATTAAGAACGAGTTTTTAGTTTGGTCACAGAATTAGATTACATATATGTATCTAAGTCCGTGGTTTGGTGTTATTATTTCATGGCTATTTGGGGAACAGTCAAAACTATCATCCCGAGGTAGGGGGAAGCCCTGGGGAACTGTTTGCCCGAGACCGCTAGGCCAAGGGCAAACAGTTCCACAGGGATTTCCCCTACCGAGGGATGATAGTTTTGACTGTTCCCAAAATAACCATGAAACAATTGTTTTATTACCAAATAAATATTAGTATCAATGCTGTATTCAATGTTGCCATTGCTTCAACACTGAGTCGCGGTCACCGAAACGTTTGAACGGGGCTCTCGAGGGGGATTTCTGCGCATTGAATTCGCGCCGGGTAACAGTTCGCTCTGACCGGGAAAACAGTTTTGACTGTTTCACCCCTATAGCCGAAATCGACCAAAAGGCCAGAAACAGTCAAAAATGACTAAGTATAATTTATATAGACTATTGGGTAATAATATGATTTGTTTGCTTCCAAATCTGTGTCATTCAAATATATCATAAATACCATACAAAAACAGTTCAATACTAATATTTACGTTTTCTCTGCCTCTTATGTTCTTTTTTAACTTATAATTTATATTTAAAATTAAAAATGCCCGTCTGATCGACAGTCCACACAATTTCGTTCAATAGTTTGAACAGCGTATTGTCGCGTGCTGATTGGCAAACGAAGTAGTACTTGGAAATTTTAACAAACACTTCAATTTTATTCCACAATTCAGTATCAATACAATTGCGTATTATATGTGTATAGGGTGATTTAAGTTTATCAATAGAACTGTGAGCTGAAAGTTAGATTTGAAATTGTATCGATTTTTCCCCGGAACAAATTTTGCGCATGGACAAATACAGTGAACCCCGTAAATCCGACCTTGCCCTTCACGAGGGAGTTATTTTTGGAAGTTCATTCGAACTTTTCTCTTTGCTCATTTTGTGAAGAATTCAGGCGTGAATGTATTTGTTGATTGTATGAGAACCTGACAACAGTCGGTAGATTCTATAACAGCCTCGTTATTTGATATGTTGTCAGAAACTAAGACAGTCGCACAAATTTAAAGCCACTACTAAAGATTTTTATAAAAATTCCTTCTATCCCAAAACAATAACAGACTAGAATACCCTACCAGAATCTGTGTGCATGACTTCTTCCCGTGAATCCTTCAAAAGTGGCATCTCCACTTAAACTATTGAAGGGGTCAAATCACTATACTAATCCACAAGGCCACTGTACAAATTGTATATGTTAAAATGTTGTTAATCTTCAATGTTTTTATTTTATCAATGTATTCACATATTATATGAGAGTAACATATCTTAATATATAAAATTCTAAATCCATTCCAAATTGTACAAAAAAACAGTGTTGTGGCAAAATATTTCTTCGTAGCAGTCTCGAGAAGTCATAACTATTATTCAATGGGGCGGGGGCTACGATTGACGCTTTAACTAAGAAGATGGTTGATATTTTATCCAAAACAGTCAAATAGTTACACTGTCAAAAGAAATAATTTCAAAAATCGCTTCAATTTTGACAAAAGGTAAAAATGATCTTTTACGTAAATCATCTTATGACATAACCGGCTTCTCTCTCTCAGAAGATGATGTTAATTATTGCCAAATCGTTGACATTTGAGCCTAAACATGCTGTTAAACTGTAGATATTGAGCTAAACAGAATATTCTGAACAACACAATTAATGCCATTTACAATTTATTTAATTATAATTAAATAGATTCAAGGTTCCGTTCCCTCGTGGTAATGATGGACTGTCAGTTAGTCATTTCCATAAAAAGGTTTGGTGTCCAGCAGCTTTGCTGCTTTTTCTTGTTAATATTACAAGTAAAGCGATCCATGCCCCTGTGGCTGTGACCCGTGTTACTCAATAGGACAAAGATTATTTTGTAGGTCGTGCACGGTCTGTTTCAACTTTAAACCTATTGCGTAAGGTCTATTCGTGGCCTAGTATTAATTGTGTTTCCATTTTTTTTAAGAAACAAGCTTTCAAAATAATAATTATAATATACTCAGTAGGAAGTACAAAATATTTCCGGTCATTTCTAGAACTATTTAGCCATTAACTCATTCATCCTTGAAACTTCATAATGAACTATTCCAACCTTACATTTACGATTACATTTTCGTTCGTGCAATCCCACCTTGTTATTGTTCAAATGATAGTTTTCTTATACAATCTGTCTATATATATATGATCTCTATGATTATACTCAGGTACACTTATAAACAACAAGAAACCATGGACTTGACAAAGAAATCAAAGAAATCAAAGGTTCTTCCAGCACGCCAGGACTTCAATGTGTCTGTCCAGCAGCCCGACGTGTCGTCTGCCACTCAAACTGTTCAAGATCCTGAGGTATGTAATAGGTAAAGCAGCAGGCGGTGACATAGACTGTACCTTATGTAGTAGCTACTGCCAGGTTTTCCTTCATAAAAAACCCATTGCTATTCATTTAACCCTTAGACTGCCTTTTGGCCGATGTGATTTTTACGTTGACTGCCACAGGCTAGGGCCGATTGACTTTTAACGAATTTTGATGTCACGCTCGGCATTGTCCATGACGTCATGGATTGGTGTGGCATGAGACGATCTGGAAACTGTTCAGTGAGGCGATTTATGTTCAACTTTCAATCATTATTCCTTGGAGATAGGACGTTGGATACGGCCAGTTGACAAGGCACGCGTCTGGACTCGTTATTAACTTGTGCCTAATCCCAGTTTACAAGTTATCTGGAATCAAATTGTCAAAGATCCAGGGCTCGAATCCTATTCGGGCGATTTTGCATTGTTTCCTATTTTTCTCATCTTTTTTCTCATAAATGTTTTCGAGCAGACGAAAGATTTATTAATTTATTTAGAAAATCATATGAAATTTCTTTTCACTGTTCAGTTCATTGTCGAACATTTGTCTGTGCTTTTTCTACCTACATAAGAGGTAGGTTGATCGTGCTGTCACAAACCCGGTTTTTGAACTAACGTTATGCAGTTTGAGGGTTTTAAAGGGTTGACCGGCCCAGTTCTGTACAAAACTGTTTTCTCTAAATACGGTCAGTTTTACAGAGAACAGAAGTTTATCAGATGTCCTTATTTGCTAGTTTACTTGGGTACTGATTTTATTTTGTCTTATCAATTTTTTGCAGTCCAGAGTGTTTTGTGATGGAACCAATGAAGTTGATAAAGTCAACACTGCCACGCCAGACAATGCAAAACTGTGTTCCAACTTTGAGCCAGTAAATGGTCCAATAATACAGGTAACAAAGTTATATTACAGTTTTTTTTTGTATTTTCTTCTGTTTAGGTTTATTATTTATATGTTTTCAATGGCTGTATCAGACAACAAAGTGATGTTGTTCCTTCATACTACATTTCTAGTTTGTTTTAGTTGATTGAATATTTTGTTTGATGAATACACAATTCCCTTCCTTCCTATTTCCACCATTCCTTCCTATTTCCAATACACTATAACCTATATTCTAAAATATAGTGTTATTTTTTTTTGATCCAGTGTGGTCAAGTGGTAATCACTTAAAACTTTAAGGGTATCTGTAGGAATTTCGCAAGGAGTCACTAACAACAAATAAAGTTTTTTAACAGTCTTTGTTAGTTTTCAGTCACTATTTTCCGTTTCAAATGATATATTTTTTTTCGAATGGCTTGAGGAATTTTGACTTGATTTAATCTGAAGCATAGCTTGGCTAACAGTAGGATGGCGCCCCCTGGAGGCAACGGGACGTTTTCCATTAGGGATAATAAAATAATTGTTCAAGACATCATGGGAAAGAGGGATGCTGCCTAGTAGAGGAAACATAGAGAAAATCTATGAAAACCCTATTAAATGTTATGTAAACACAGGGTGTACACGCCTCCTTAGAGTCACGGACCAATAGGATGGGAAAATGATGACATGATTATTACAATTAATTACAGATTTTTTTTAGCTATTGAACTATTAGGCTATTAATTTCACGGTTCCTCGGGTGCATTTACTGCACCCTTCACAGATATAAGACTCATAGACTACGAAGTTAAACTTATAACATGAATTATTACATAGATATATTAGGAATATAGGATTAGCTACTGAAAAGTAACTATGATGATTTTCCGTAGGACAAAGAGCAGCTGATTGGAGAGGATGTTATAATAGCTGAAGAAACCCCGTCGCTACCGGAGCAAGGTAGATATGATATATAACAGGGCAGCACCACTGCTGTTTGCATTTAGTACATCAGGGGCCTGATAATTTGTTACAGTATAGCTATGTTTGGATCTTAACAGATGTGCTCAGAGTAATATTAGATGTTTGGTAAACATGCTATTCCAATTATGATATTGATATCAATTAATAAAACGTCTAATACTACTCTAAAATCATCAGCTTAGGTCCAATCATAACTGTACTCTAACAAATTATCAAGCCCCTGTGATTCTTACATGTCTGAATTGGTGAGAAAACAATTTGAAATGTTAATTAAGTATATTTGATTTATGTATTTCAAAACTAAAATTGTATGAAAACACCTTCAAAATGATGACCTTGTAACCAAATGCTCGAAAGTAATTGTCAATTTTTTAAAATTTCGCAAAAAATGACATTTTGAAACTTTCTATTCACGACTCGTAATATTATGATGGATAATTCAATTTGAACATCTGACTTTTTGTCTATCTAGTCTTATTTTGTGGTAAACATTCATATGTAACTAAAATCGAAAAGATGCTTTAGGGGCCGGTATGCTTTGTCCCTAATATGATTCTCCGAAAATCAGGCGATTTGTTAGGATTTCAGAATAGAGAATATTAGGTTTGGAATATTTTTAGTCTTCTTATGTCCGTCTGTCCATTTGGCGTCAACTTTTTTGTTCGAAAGACTTCTTCTCAATAACCATTGGGCCTAGGGTGACTTGGTCAATAGCATACTGGGATATAAAGACTACCGAAGTTATTCAAGCAAAAGACCTTTAACCACTCCCAAGGTCATTGGAGTCAACCATTATAAAATATTTAAGCTTCATATTCACAATAATGTAAAGGCCAGGGGTGTTGATATTGGGTCAGTATCATGCTTGAATGAATGGTTGACATTTATTTAATTGAATGCCCTTCACCCACATTCAATGTGGCTATAGGGTCAAATGTTCAACATCTACTGAATAACCGAAAGGCCCTGGATAAATGATATTTGGACAGTAGCACGATGCGATAAATGGCTACAACATGTTGCTCAGATGAATGACTTTGACCCATTTTCTAGGTCATTTGGTCAAATGTTTAATATGGCCACCAGACATATGAGGTTCCTCTTTTTACCCATAAAGTATTGTGCAATAGTTCAAATTCCAACCTCACTTAGAAAGAACAATGTCATACAAAGCAGTATGAAGCTTTATTCAAAAGTTGCATTTGCTGTTTACGTGAGTCAAACAAACAGATAAAAGAAACGATTGAATTTACGTAGAACCTATGAAGATAGTATGATGTTGAGGGCGCCAAGATCCATCTTGGATCTCTGGTTAAATACATTATAGTCAAAATATTCCTTTTTAATTCTGTTATTTATCAAATAAATAAGATGTATCACGTGAGGTTATTGCCATAGAGTGTATGTCTATGTTTTCTCCTTTTTCTAGAACGGAGTGATGAACTGGTATGTGGGAAGAAAGACGTATCTTGTGTTACCAACATTTTACCCAGTTCAAAGAACCATGAAGGTAAGTTGACATATATTATCAAACTTAGTTTGCAAATAAATCTTATATTTTTGTGTGTTAGCATCACTTTTCTTTTTATTCGTCGAAATAAAATTAGGATAATTTGACATTTGGTAAAGCATTACGATTTTTTGACAATAGATATAGCATTAAGGTTGTTTGACAATAGATATAGAATTAAGGTTGTTTGACAATAGATATAGCGTTAAGGTTGTTTGACAACAGGTTCAGCATTAGGATGGATTGAAAATAGGTACAGCATAAGGAAGCAAAAAGATTTTTGTTATACAAATGTTTATATATTTTTTTTATTATGATATTAATGCATGTGTTTTACAACAATAATTATTCGACGGACATCTTTTTAGGTGACATTGTTTGACGTGTGTCACACCTTACATCAATGAAACTGAAAATGACTTGTAAGTTTCTTTCTACCTTTTTTTTCAGAAATTGTCAAGGCGACGAGCTGCCAAGAAATCCGTGCAAGAAAACACCCGGTATCACTTTAACTTAAGATTTATAGCTTCTATCAGAAGAAATAATGTATTAAGAATAAGAGAGTATGAAATAATTGACTAATTAAAACAAAGGGACTCCAATCATCTAAAGCAGTCAATTTTTACCGTTACGCGACCGCAAGATTCTTTTAATTTTCATCAAAGGATCGAACTAGTCTTCCTGTCTCATCAACAAGGTGGTGCCCACTGAGCTTTCAATTTTGCTATGGCTAATATAATCTTACCCTACCTTAAGGGTGTGACAGAGAAATCTCCTACCCGAGGGGTTATTTTTTTGGTTGTCTGACCCGAGGCTCTTCCGAGGGTTAGACAACCAACAAAAATCACCCGAGGGTTGGAGATTTCTCTGTTACACCCTCAAGGTAGGGTATGGTTATTTTTCTCCCATCCTATTATTTTAGTCAAAACTCCACCAACAATAATCTACCAAGTTTGTAAACAAAAACACATGTGGGGTATGAATATCGTCATTCACTTTTGATGACGTCACAATTACCGGTGACGCATTTTAATGACGTCGTAATTGAACACGTGCTAATCGGTACACGGCTATCTGCCCGTAGGGGGTGACAAGCTGATCTTTCCCGGCTAAAACGGGAGCACGTCTGTGAAGGGTGGGAGAAATATTCCATGGATGCAGAGAGCGTAAGTGAGAGTAACCACTGGAGTATCAAGGATGTAGTTTCTGTTGTTGTCTTTTAGACTTTAGATCAATTTTATCATTGTGAGTAAACGCTGTGGCATGTTGTGTCTTTGTGTGCGTTCACGTTCTGGTGTATTTTGTTATGTTGTTTAGACGGCGTGGTATGTACATTTATTGTTTTTGTCCTTGAGTGTTTTTGGTTCGGGTACATTTTGTTCATCTTTGTATACTAAAGGTGATATGTTGTTATTGCGCGGTGACGCCAAGGTTTATACTGTCATTGTGGTTTGAGATGCTTGGTATAATTTGTCCCTCATACAGGTGTTACACTCACTTTGGCTATTTGCCCCCACCCCCCACCCCCCAATATGTCATTGCAAATCGAAGGAGACGAGCTAGTGTTTTCCTTTAATGAAGATAAAAAAAATATTGGTCGCGTAACAGTAAATTGACTGGCTTTGAAGTCGGCTGTTGCTCCTCTGTAAGATTCAAAGGACATGTAGCAGCCTAGCGATTGGTCAGTTTTTCGGATATCAATCAAATGGCTAGCCGCGTGCCTGCGATTGTGCTATTACAAATTTCAGGGGTGCAGAGAGCGAAATTGGGGTAACCCTAGAGTACCGAGGATGTTTGTCCCTGTGCATTTTGGTATTTCTTTTGACCTAGGATGTTGATTTGTGGATACAATTTGGTTTTTTTTTGTAACATTGTGTGAAATAAATCATATCGTTAATATTTCTGTACTTATATGACAGAAAAAAAATAAAACAAGTATCCTTTCATCTTTAATTAATCAATCAATGAGTGATTATTACTGAATTGTCACCCCGGTAAAATATTATCCTCTTCATAACGACTCAGCTAGGGACAATTTCTCTCTTTACTTCATTTGGTATAGCTTAAGACTAGTAAACGAGAGAACCCAGGTTTGACTCCTAGAGTGGAGACATTGAAAAATATTTACCTCTGTTACACTGGAGCCCACGTAAAGGGACTCCAGATACTTTCACATGAAAGCTAGCTATGACCCCCTGAAAAAACTCGTCCTAGAGGCGGAATGTCACCCTAAAAGAACATTTTCTGCTTCCTGCCGACTCAGCTAGGGAGAATTTCTCTCTAGTTCATTCGATAGAGCGTAAGACTAGTAAACCAGAGGTCCCAAGATCGATTCCTTGCGGAAGCATTGAAAAAAACAATGGCCGCTGTTACAGATATAATCTTCATATACTTGCAGATAAGACTCACCAGGACTGGTAAATGTGGTGTTTACAAAAACTGTTTCCATGTAACAAAGGAGCATGACTTCCCTTGTCACAAAGCTAAAGAAGGAATAGTGTTTGAGCAATGCAAACAAAAAGTTGGCCTAGTCCGATGTATGATTTGTGGAAACTGGGGGACCTGCTTTCGTATTGGCAAATGCTACATTCTCACGTGCTACCATGTCATCAGCAAATGTGAGTTTGATATAATAATCATGTAACAATCGTTTCAAACAGACATTTTTAGATCACCTGGTCCGAAGGGCTAATTGAGCTTATGTCGTGGTGCGGCGTCCGTGTTTCGTCTGTCCGTCTTTCCCTTTACAGTTGCGGCGCACAAATCAGTTTGGCAGAACATGTTGCCAGAAGTGCACAGAATATCGCCGCTAGCAGTGACATTTTGGTGATGTTCTGGCACACATTTCATATTCCCAGAATGTCACCAGTATATCGCCAGAAGTGCACCACAGATAAAATATTCTAGTGATGTTCTGACACTTTTCATATCACCAGAATGTCGCCAGATGTGCACCACAGATAAGGAATTCCCATGATCCTCTGTAACTTGTCTAAATATAGTTAAACCCTAAATTCAAAAATCACAAAATGGCTGATGAATGAAGGAGAGCCAATGGTGAAAGGAAAAGTTAAGTGAAATAAGGAGATATTAGGCTCTTTTGGATAAAGTGACTGCATGCAGTTGGGAGCAAACTTAATTTGGTATCTAGTGCACTTTGTAGTGCAGACGTAGTGAGCAAGAAAGTGACTTGACAAAACATTGAAGTGCACTCCAGTTCACTTCAGTGTTAACTCCAGTGCACTACGATTTTAACTCCAGTGCACTACAGTGTTTACCAAAGTTTAAAAGACTGAAGTACATATTTCAATAATTGTTTATAACGAAATGGGTTACTTTGTGATATGAAAATTGAAAGAGAAAGGAAAAAATCATTCAACTGAATATTTCATAATATCGAATTAACGATACACATATTTTTTGTTTTTTGATGACATAAAATTTCAACTGAACATATACAAGTACAAAGAGAATACAGTTACAACTTAACTTCAGATGCAGATTTAAAGATGGTTGCTAGGGCAATGTAACCACCCCCTGACATATATATTTTTTTCAATATGACATCTACCTGATAATATATGGGCAATAATTATAATCACCCACTGGCCGTTCGTTCACCTGTGGTCACACGGATTTCTCTTGTGCTTATCTTGAAGGTTTGTTGTCCTTTCTCCCACTTTTTTCTGATAAAAACACTGGAAAACAATATACAATAGAGGTGTCATTATAATCTGTTCTGGTATAGTACATGTAGATTATTTAGCTGTATTTACCTGTTCACCAATAGGAAATACTGTGTTAGTTATAGGAATATTTAACAAATATATTTCCAGTTTTTCGTAACATTTACTGGAATTATGAATAAATATATACAAGATTCCAGTTATTACTTAATAAAGACACATCAACATACATAAACTGAAAACCTGCTTTTATTAGCTCACCTGGTCCGAAGGACCTAGGTGAGCTTATACCGTGTCGTCTGTTGTCCGTCCGTCAACAATTTCTTTTAACGACTTCTTCTTCTTCTGAACCACTGATTTACAAAATTTGACTGGAAGCATCTCTAGGTGGTGGGGAATCACAATTGTACAAATGGTGGGGTTGACCCCCATGGGGCTGTGGGGCGGGGCAAAAAGGGGGCAATTTTGCTATATTGCTATAAGCGACTTCTCTGGAACTAAAAGATGGATATCAACCATATTTGACTGGAAGCATCCCTAGGTGGTGGGGATTCAAAATTGTACAAATGGTGGGGCTGACCCCCCCCAGGGGGCTGAGGGCGGGGCAAAAAGGGGGCAATTTGGCTTTATTGCTACAAACGACTTCTTCTGTAGAACTATGCACTGTATGTCAATCATATTTAATCAAAAGCATTCATAGGAGGCAGTGATTCAAAATTGTACAAATGGTGTGGCTGACCCCCCAGGGGGCTGAGGGGCAGTGCCAAAAAGGGTTTTTGGCTATATTGCTTTAAACGACTTCTTCTCTGGAACTAAGAGATGGATACCCACCATATTTGACTGGAAGCATCCCAGATGCTGAGGATTCAAAATTGTACAAATGGTGAGGCTGATCCCCCAGGGGGCTGAGGGCGGGGCCAAAAGGGGGCAATTTGGCTATATTGCTATAAACGACTTCTTCTCTAGAACTGTGCCATGGATATCGATCATATTTGGTCGGAAGCATTCATGAGACAGGGATTCAAAATTGTACAAATAGTTGGGCTGACCCCCCGGGCTAAGGGGTGGGGCCAAAAAAAGTTTATTACTTGGAAATGATTGAGATCCCCACCATATAACCATATATACAATTGCTGAGTATAAATAGAAGAATGCACATTTGCTTCCAGGATGGCCCTAGGGTCTGGCCCAACCCTTGGAGACATAGTCCCTGGGCCATAACTTTAGAACAGTTGAGATCCCAACCCCAAAACTATATATACAAACGCTGGGCATAAAGAGATGAATGCAGTCATGATATTAGAATAGATCCTGGGGTCTAGACCCAACCATAGGGACCTAGTTTCTGATTCACAGCTTGGAAACAGTTGAGATCCCCACCCCATAACCATAAATAAAATTGCTGGGCATGAAAAATCGAATACAGACATACTACAAGAATTGGCATTGGGGTCTGGCATATTCCCTTGGATCTCATTTGGAGAATATTTTGCCATGATTGCTAAGATATCCTGGTGAGCGATACAGGCCCCTGGGCCTCTTGTTGTACTAAACGATCTGCTACCTCATGATGTACCTGCATACCAAATCTAAATTTTCCACGGACAAACTTTTTTAAATGATAAGGTCAAAGGTCTAATCATAGGTCACTATCCAAGATGTGCTTACATACCAAATATGGTTACTCCATGTGAAATAGTATAGATGATACGCCCCGGACAAACTTTTGGGAAGAACAGAATACAGACGTGTGGACGACGTGCAAACCTATAGTCCCCTAGGGAACCGGTTGGGGAATAATGAGCATAATTTAGCATATTTTATAAAGTTATGGCTAATTCCTTCAGTTCAAATTCAAATTCAACTTTTCACATGTCATTTTGTTGCCATAGGTACCGGTACAGACCATCAAATCAAAGCCTTCTTCCGTAATCAGGGACCCAATCAACGAGACACGTGGGATTACAAGATAAGAGAGAAAAACATCGATAAAAAAATAGACTTTGCAATCTGCGAACTTTACAGTGATGGTAAAAGCTTCCCACCGGCCTTCACGAATTTCAGAGACTCAACACATGCCGACAGCAGTTCCGAATGTCTTGTGTACCTAATATGCTTCCAAGATGATGCAAACCAAATTAAACTTGATGTGCACTATGACACGGTCAGATTGAACAGCAATACATTTGATAGTGATCGGTTGAACAATCTCAATCGGATGGTGAAGGAAAAGTACCCCAAATATATAGAGAAGCAAAGCATTTATTGGGATGCAGACTCGCATAGATATTATGGGCATGTGCCTTTGCTGTCCAAAGTCACTCACGGAGGATCCGGCGGTGTTGGAGTCTCCTTCGATGGAAATGGAAACGTGGTGGTGGACTTCATGTACAAAGCAGGATTCCCTGGATTCTTCGAGACAGCCTCAACAGATGAGAAAGAGAACTTTCCGATTTGTCTTTGCGTGGAAGTGGGTTCAAAAATTAGGACGATAATGAAGAAATCGGACAAAGAACTGTGGGAATGTTGATAATAAACAGTAAAATCGGTATAGACAGTGTCTTTATGACTTTATGTCATTATGTATACCAATTATTGTTACAATGCTACTATAAATTCCTGATAAGTTCAGACAGAAGTCTTCACAGATGAAAAGTGCCTGTGGGAAACGGTGTTACGGACAAGGGTGTTCGCGGTTCGCTGTAGAAGCGGGATCATTTGTCTCGTTCGACACGAGCAGCAGAAGGCTGTCACGTGTACTCGGGTACACGGGTGGTGGATGTTGTCAGAGTGGTCATTTCTAGTCGCCTACTAGGGACGTACGGTTCATTCCAAATTTAAGGATGTATAGGTTTATTCTTAAGGTGGTTGAGTAAGGTCTGTTAAAAAGAGAGTAGACGGCGGTCCAACTTTCACCTCAGAGAAATCAGACTTGTAGGGAAATAATATTTGTCCCGCTTTAGGATACAGGTTTCCGGGGGCTATCTCCGGTTTTCCCTGGGCGTGCAGGTTGATTTTGATGATCGAGGTATCTCTTTATTGTCATTTTGCGCAGTCTACGTCAGACTGCAGCGTACATTTTTTTCATGTCAGATGACGACAAGCCGTTAATTATCATTATATTTATGAGGGTTTATTTGTATATATTTATTTTGATTGTGTTTTATTTTTTGTCATGGACTATGTGTAATTGTTGTTAATATAAATACACTGATTAAACGCCCACCGCCATACGTCTTTTCGGTGAGCTAGTCGCTCAGAGGTCCGAGACAGTGATATTGTCTTCTGTATATGACTTAATATATCATTAATAGTTTCAGACGGTATTGGTGTCAAAATATAAAGATGTTATATACTTACAGCTGTAGGTGTAGGCGCTAAAATAGGCACTTTAAAGTACACGAGAGTCCACGAAATGAGCCAAATGAAATCCCCAATGAAAATTAACCATTTCACATTACATCGAATTATATTGTACAAATGATATGAATAAAAACAAAATACATTGTAAAATGTAAGAGAAAAAACAGAAACTAATACTTTGTATATGAATCTTAATGCATGTAGTCATAAATTTATCTGTCTTAATTTGATACATCTCATTAACGGTGTATACTAGTTTATGTGTCTTAAAACTTCTATTTTACAAAATGTGTACGTTAAAATATGTGTTTTCAATTTAATACTTCTCATTAACGGTGCATACATGTGTCTTAAAACTTCTCAATAACATGATGTATACATTAAAATATGTCTTAATTTAAGTGTTGTGTATTTCATTTTTGACATACTGTAATTAACTATTACTTAATTTATAGGTGAAATGACATGTGTGTGTTACATTCGTTCTTCCTACAACACGATACAGCTAGGGGTGGTGTCACAATGCGCCTTGAGTGTATCACGTTTTCTCTCTTTTCCGTGTGTAAATAGAGCTGTCCAGGGTAAGAAATTTCTATCTTACATCCCATTTCACGTGACGTGACGTCACAATGGCTCAACAATGACTAGACGTCACGAATTTGGAAAACACTGCTGCCGCAATGCGGAAAAGGCAACGTAATGAGATTAAAACCTTTTACGATATATTTACCGTCCACGTTAGAAAGATGAGGTTATTTTTTCTGCGCAAATTTTGTTTGCAAACATGGAGATTACTTAAACTTGCTGGTGAATTCGTTTTCGTCAGAAAAACACTCAGGGGGAAAAGTTGATATTTTCGAAAAGGTAGCCAGTCAAAACGCGTTTTCATGGTTTCTGAGCATATTCTGGTTGTTGGAAAGAGAGAAAAAATACTCTTACATGCAGGATAGGGAAATTCCACCCGAGGGGTTTTACCAAATTTGAAAAACCCTCGGGTGTAATAACGATATGTATCTCGCTGCATTATCACAAGAAACTGACGCTCAACTTAAGACATGGTCGTCAGAATGTTATCAAACTGAATTTTAAATCATAAGGATCATACTAATTTAATTTTTTTGCTAAACTAATCACCAATTACGAAAGTGCATCTGATTTCCGCACCAATAATAGCCTGTTTGTGGTATTTGGCATATCTGTAAGACAGTGCAGTAATTTGAAAAGTTAAAACACGATATGCCTGTGTATTGCGATATACCGGTTTTCCAATACATTGCGACAGCCCTAGCTACAAACATAGCATCTGTTTGGTTTCCTTATACTTACTCTATTGAATAAATGGATCCAAAATAAAAAATATATACATCTTGAGCGCAAATGCCAAAATCGTTTTTTTGATACCTGTATGTGGCATACATTGTTTAATACAGACTTGTTTTACCTTATTTTTCATCTTTAAGTCTCTGGAACGGACCTTACTTCCTTTTCACGAACGTGGTTGAAGAATTCCCCATTAAAATAATATCTTTTCAGCTAAGAACTGGCATCCTAGATAATCCAGGGGTTACACGCTCACCTACGTTCTCTACACCACTGGAATATGTCATAGCAAAATTGAAGGCACGAAGATAGCTGTTTGATTGGTCACGGGTAAAAAAAACCTGACCAATCGCTAGGTCGATACCTGTACTTTGAAGATTACAAAGGAGCGACACCCGACTTCAATGTCAGTCAATTTTCACCGTTACTCGACAGCGAGATTCTTTTGATGTACATCAAAGGATCAAACTATAGTCTCATCAACAAGGTGGCGCACACAGAGCCTTCAATTTTGCTATGACATGTTCCAGGGGTGTAGAGAGTGAAAGTGAGCTTAACCCCTGGAGTGTCGAGGATGAGAACTGGAGATAAATAATATGAGGCTCTCTTATTGATGCTATACAAGATGAATGGGGGGGGCACATCTTCCATTTATAAATATTCAATTCCCTTTGCCCAAAGATTCTCTAGAACAAGTTTGGTAAGGTTAAAATCACTTCAACGGTACAGAAGTAGAAGGATCTTTAATGTTTTCCTCTATTTCCCCTAATGGGCCCTACTCATCTGCCCCAAAGAAGGGGGTCCACACACCTAAGTTTAAACAAAATTGATTCTTTCGTCCCTAAGCATGCTTCAGACTGCCTTTGGTTTAAATCCCTTCACTTGTATAGTAGGAGAAAAAGAATCCTCTATTTCCCCTATTGGGCCCCGCCCCTATGCTCCCAGAGGGGCCACACCCTTCGTTTATACAAACTTGAGGCTCCTTTGTCCAAAGACACTCTAGAACAAATTTGGTCAAAATCCTCTGAGCCGTTCAGGACTAGTAGCGATTTAAAGGAAAAAGTTGCCGGACGACGGACGCTGCCGCATGGGCCAGGTGAGCTAAAAATGGTACTGACATAGATTAGTATTGCATTGTAAGAGTTATCTTTTTTGAAAAATTTCACAGTAGTGAAATAGGTAGCCGGTTTCCCGAAGTACAGAAAAAAGAACACATGTGACTCATTGATAAAAAACAACTGAATTAATGGCTGGATTGCTTTGAAATACTTTAACATTGTTCTGTCAATAATAAACATACAATATTCATCAGTTTAATATTAAACATTAGAATATGCAGAAATTGTGATACATGTACTGTCTCCCTACTTTGAATTTTTAACTAGGGATGTACTTCCTACGTAATTTTCTCACACAAATCAATGACGTAACAATCAATACCTGCTCACAAGAGAAGATAACTCTGCAATACGCAAAGACGGAATAGTCCGTGCACCATTTCTTCAATTCACTAACCTCCCGAAATTAAATAATCTGCTACAATTTGAGTGTGTTCAAATATGCACTTTCAAGTATATGACTTTGCGGATTAAGAGTGTCCACGAAATCAACAAACCGAAATCCCTGATGCAAATAAACTATTTTACAATACATGGAATTATATTTTCCAAATGACATGAAAAAATAACAAAATAACCCTAAAAATACTAAACGGAAACTAATACTGTTGGTGTGTATCTTACTGTTTGTAGTAACAAATCTGTTTTCAAACAAAACTGATATATGTATACATTAAAGCATACGTTGTAATTTAATATTTCCCATGAAGGGTGTATACAGCCATGTGTCTTAGAACTTCTCATTAACATGATGTATACATTAACATATGTGTCTCAATTTAATACTTCTATAACAGTGTATACATGTGTCTTAAAACTTCTCATTGACATAATGTATTCATTAAAATATGTGTCTCAATTTAATACTTACCATTAACGGTGCATACAGCCATGTGTCTTAAAACTTCTCATTAACATAATATATACATTAACATACGTGTCTTAATTTAATTCTTACCATTAACAGTGTATACATGTGTCTTAAAACTTATTTGGAGAAATGACACTAATTTGTTGGTTTTTTTTGTGTGTGTAAAATTTAGATTTATTCAATAAATAAAAAGATGAAACAAATGCCCAGTTCACCTATCATTATATTTATATACTCAGCATATATATGTGATACACAATTTTTCAATTATCATAACATACCAGACAAAAAAAATGTCAACAATAAAATCATGTATATAAGACTGGCATTGTAATTTGCTTAACTTATTCACCCCTGAAGACACATTTGAACTCTTCCAATTCAAAGGTAAGAATAGTTCATTATGAAATTTCTGGGGTGAATGAGTTAAAATTTGAGTATCATCAGGTCATGTGACTGGAGGTTGTTTAGGTCATGTGACTTGAGGTTGTTTAGGTCATGTGGCTTTGGATTGTTTGGTTGACAAATGACACTGATGGACAATAAATCAATATGGTATTAATTCATTCACCCCTGAAGACTCATTTAAACTCTTCCAATTCAATAGCTGGAATCGTTCATTATGAAATTTCAGGGGTGAGTGAGTTAGATCAGTAATGGTAAACACATGTAAACAATGTAGGATAAATGGTGGTAATATTTAGACGTTATCATTATGACCATTTCCCAATCCTATTCTGTATCAGCCTGAGACTCTCATTTCATCCCCAGGGGCTGGAGGCCTGAGGCCTGATAAGGGAGTCTCGGGCTGATGCGAAGTAGGATTATGGAAAAGGTCATATGATAACCTTTTTATCATATACTGCTCTATAACATCAAAAGTATTAGCAATAATACATACAACACACAGAAAATACATTTCATGGTAGCTAAAATCACATTCTACCTTCAATAAAACATAAGAACAGAATAGCAAATACAGATGGATATACAGTGTGTACACTATTCCGTCTTCGCGTATTGCAGAGTTATCTGCACTTGTGAGCAGGTATTGATCGTTACGTCATTTGTTTGTGAGTGTATCGTCATCAATTTTTGAGAAAATGACGCAACTTTCTCACACAAACCAATGACTTAACAATCAATAGCTGCTCACAAGAGAAGATAACTCTGCAATACACAAAGACGGAATAAGTTTAATGAGTGATTTTATGAAAAGTGCTGAACCGGAAGTTGAACGCATAAGGTGCATGCTGGGCGGATATTGCATGTGCAAGGCAGATATGACACATGCCAGGCAGATATGGCACGTGCCTGGCAGATATGACACATGCCAGGCAGATATGGCACGTGCCTGGCAGATATGACACATGCCAGGCAGATATTGCACATGCCAGGCAGATATGACACATTCAAGACAGATATGACACATGCCATGCAGATATTGCACATGCCTGGCAGATATGACACATGCCAGGCAGATATGACACATGCCAGGCAGACATGGCACATGCCAGGCAGCAGATATGGCACATGCCAGGCAGATATGATACATGCCAGGCAGATATGACACATGCAAGGCAGATGGCACATGCCAGGCAGATATTGCACGTGCCTGGCAGATATGACACATGCCAGGCAGATATGGCACGTGCCTGGCAGATATGACACATGCCAGGCAGATATGACACATGCCAGGCAGATATGGGTAAGTCCAAGATATGGTCTATTCACAGCTAGCAGTATCACACATGGGAAACAACCCATATCACAGACAAGTACAGAATGGGTCACAGCTAGGTTATCTTGACCAAAGAACCCTGATGTAGCATTGAATTTGAAAGCAATTAAAAAGATAGCCTAAAAGTTAGTACCCCAACCAGCCTCTCCAAAATATGCCTGCATGATCAAAGGTATTCTCAACCATGACTAAAATGAAGTCTCGACATTACCTTAACAAATACATAAACATACAGACGTAGTACAAAATGTCGTTTACTCAAAAACTATTGCTGAACAGGTTACATGTACACAGTAAATGTAGGTATGCGTAGACATTTATTTATTTACGATTAATTACTGAAGATCTGACTGGTGGTTTCGACCCGTCATTTTTTCTGGCAGTGTTCCTTATCTGACCGAAATCTAAGCCAATATATTCATGAAATCGTTATCGTGCACAAGCAAGGAATCTTCCTTTGCCCAAACTTTCTTGTAACTCACTTAGTTTATGTGACATGGTATAAAATTGTATTAGGTTTTAAAAAGTTTTTAAAAGATATTCAAAAGCATGGACAGAATGCCATTTTTTAAATTGATTTATCGGCAGAATAAGAAATTTGACTTAAGCATAAAACTGGAGTTTGACTATAAGAATGGTTCATGAATACCAACTCAGGTTGGATAACTTGTTTTTGACAGTGACTTTGACTTGTACATCATTCGGAACTCTTGTTTTCGACAATATTGCTGATTAATTAACCCACTGGTATCTTGTTTCTGTGTCTGTCATTACAGTGGAACTTTGTAAGTGCAGACATTTCTGTGCACAGAGAAATACAATGAGTTTTCCATGTCACAGTGAGGTTTTGAAATTTTTCATTGTTGTCATGTTTTACTGGTTTAACAACATAAAATTATTTCACTGATATTTTATGCCAGCATCACGTTTGTTTTCCAAATGATTGTTCGAAAATGTCATCTTCAAAAGATCCTAGAAATCCCCTGAAATAAGAAAATAATAGAATTCTTTTACTGGCTAAAACATTTTTCATTGCTATACAAAGCATTAAGTAAATGATAATTCAAATTAATATTGATATATTCACATGTTTTCACATATATTCACGTACAATGTATTTTTATTTGGGAGGAGTTGAGCAAATGTTTCTTTGCGAGGCTGACAAAAGTGAATGTCTGCAGACTCCCCTGCGTACTTAACAAACATATGTCATACTTAAATTCCAAATTATATTTTAATGGACCGAAGACATGTTAAAAGGTTATTGTAGATAAAATACACAGCTTCAGTTCAACAAACTACTCGCCAGGGATGCTTCATTAATATCTGTTGAAGTGTGATTTCGCACAAAGTGTAAAATCACACCGAAAAATGTTTAAATGTATTGCGAAACCTCTTTATACTGTCATCATTACATTTTGTTCCAAGGAATTTTGGCATTATAAAGAGGTTAAAGTGATCAAATGAAGAAAAATTATGAAGGACTTCTGAAGAAAATAAGAAGAGAAAAAGAAAAATTAGAATATGTAGGCAGTAAACGAGGTGACAAATGAAACGAGGGACATTAAAGCAAGGTTTCATTGTCTGGTGACATGTCTTTCCATCATTTGTTCAGAGGAATTTTGGCATTATAAAGAGGTTAAGCGACCAAATGAAGAAAAATTACAAAGGATTTCTAAAGAAAATAGGAAGAGAAAAAGAAAAATTAGAATATGTAGGCAGTAAACGAGGTGACAATTAAATGAAACGAGGGGCATTAAAACAAGGTTTCATTGTCTGGTGACATGTCTTTCCATCATTTGTTCAGAGGAATTTTGGCATTATAAAGAGGTTTAGCGACCAAATGAAGAAAAATTACAAAGGATTTCTAAAGAAAATAAGAAGAGAAAAGAAAAATTAGAATATGTAGGCAGTAAACAAGGTGACAAATGAAACGAGGGGCATTAAAACAAGGTTTCATTGTCTGGTGACATGTCTTTCCATCATTTGTTCAGAGGAATTTTGGCATTATAAAGAGGTTTAGCGACCAAATGAAGAAAAATTACAAAGGATTTCTAAAGAAAATAAGAAGAAAAAAGAAAAATTAGAATATGTAGGCAGTAAACGAGGTGACAAATGAAACCAGAGTCATTGTATTGATTACTGTATATTGACATGTTTATTCATTACTGTGACAGAAAAGCTCTATTACCCAAACTGCGGAGGAGGTTTTTTATCCTGGGTTTGAGGATGACTGACTTCTGGACCTGTGATTGGTTGTTGTAACAGGTATCGGTCTTTAAAAAAATAAAAGAGAAATTAAATTAGTCTATGCCATCCTAAGTATATGACCATCAAGTAAAGTCAAAGACATTTTCTATCCCATTCATTGTAATGTAACTTTAAAATATCACTCCACAAGATTCAGGCAATTTCTAAATGCATAACAGCACTCCACAATGAAGAACTCGACTATGCAAGTCTTATCAAACATACTACAAAGAGGAATTTTCGTGGTGTGGTAGAACTTGCATTTTTCATGTCTAGTAAATTAAGCAATAATATATCCACACACAAATATGCACTTTTTTTTTCAATTTTCTTCCATATAGTGACCACCTTTCAACTAATTGAAGATATTGTCACGATTTTTTCATTGCCAATGGTTCAGAAATCTCCCTATACAATTCATATATTGTCCATAAAGAAACAAGTTCTTCTGAAGGAAAATATAAAATAAACAAGTACACAAGACTGACTGCTAGGCAATTCTGCCTTCTTGGGCTTCTTCTTCCTCAAACCTGGCTTAAATGGAAAACATTTTTTGCGTGGTGTTGAATGTACACGTTTTCTCTGTCCTGGTATTGTTTGTAACATCACTATGACGGTTTATTGATGACGTCACTGAAATTGTTCATTACGGAACTATTAATGACGTCGTGCAACTGACGGTGCGACTAATTAACATCAGTCCACCTGAAGAAGCCCGAGAAGGCAGAAAGGCCTAGCGGTCGGTATTGTGTAGTTGTTCTTTTATTTTCTATTATCTACATATATCGTGTGTGGACATTTTCGTGTAAATTTACTCGCCGTCAGAAATTTCAGCATTTCCACACTTTTACGGTAATATCACGGAACCTCTTACCGCCAAATACACTTTTCTGTTCTATTGTTGAAGATTTTGGTTTATTCCACACGTCGGGCGTGTCCTGAACAAGTTTCGATATTTTCTGTAGCTGTTGGTCCAACCTCTTTAGTGGCTTGGCTCCATTGTGACTCCTCCCATTCACACTGCCAGAGTCATCCCCGTGCAACGTCGCGTCTTTGGTGGCTCTCATCAGCTCATCAATGCTGATCTATATTACAGCCAAAGCTCATTAAATTTGCAGGATTTTTTTCCCCTTTTCCCCCAAAACAACAATCCACAAAAAAATTCTCAGTTTGTTTTTAACACAAACAGGAATTAACAAGAACTCCACTGCGCAGGAAGCAGGGAGATTACGAAGAAATAAATACACTTTCCATTTCATAAAAAAAAGTCTTGAAAATGCAAGTATGTTTAGCACTGCATGAAGTTTGAGTTTGATGGGCCAAAGGAAACTCCAGTTATCACACGAAAACAGATTTTCTATTTATAGTAACAGTAACCTTGACCTTTGACCTTCGGACCGGAAAAGCAATCCCACGCAGGCATTTTTGGTAAGGAAGCACTGCATGAAGTTTGAGTTTGATCGGCCCAAGGAAACTCAAGTTATCGCACGAAACCTCTGTGCGGACGACGCGGACGACGCGGACGACGCCGACACAGCAATACCTATGTGTCACCAGCTTTTCGCAAGCGACACAAAAACTAAGGGGCGGAATGAGTAAACATGTTGCCCGTCCACCTGCCTGCCTGCAGTATTCAAGAGTGCTATCTGGCGAAATGTCTCTACGATTTTTTACTGATTCTGCACACTGGCTTAGTGAGCTGTTTTTAGTGGTTTAGAGTTAAGACACCACCAGACCTTTACACTCTTTGCTTTGTCAAAGGAAGCAGACGTTTTTGAAAGCTCCCAAAATAAGTTTTCAAATTCTGTTTGTGTTCAAAACAAACTAAGCATTTATTATTCATACCAAACTGATGAATGTTATTCCAAATAAAACACTATGCATGGTTCTGGAATTTTTCAGATCCAAATCTATCAAAATACATAATTATGCTTTAATAGAAAATTTCAAATCACTGTTTCTATAATTTTGAAAACTTCCCCAATATAATCATGAAAAGCTTAAATTGTGTTTTGAATTATGGTTGTCATGGTAATAAGTTGAAATTTGCTTAATTTATAGAAACTTGAACATTTTATTTTGATTGAAATGTGGGTCGAAAAGGCTAAAATCATATATAGTCCTTGAATATCGGGTGGCAGCTGCAATCCTTGCCAGTAGTTTAATAAAAGGATTTAGAATCAACAATCATCTTTTATTTTGTAGGCATACAAAAAGTATTTCTACTTAATTTCTCAACCGTTATAAGAATTAAAACAATCAACAGTTTTGAGCAAAGAACAAATGAAAAACTAATTAACTCCTTCACCCCTGAAGACACATTTGAACTCTTCCAATTCAAAGGTTGGAATAGTTCATTATGAAATTTCAGGGGTGAATGAGTTAACAAGGCAAAACACATCATATTGACCTGAAGATAAAAGCCCATATACTGACCTCTCGTTTGACCTTTGACTTGTGATCTTGAAAGTGAGAAAAGTCTGTGTTCATCATGTACTGTACTGCTGCCTTGAATGTTACCATGCAGTAGCTGTAAACAAATCATTTCAAATCATTTCAACTATACATTTTTGTGGAGGCAAGGTAGTCTACTGGTAGGACGCCAGGCTCGTGACCGAAGGGTTGGGGGTTTGAATCACGGCACTGTGTTGTGTGTTTGAACAAGATACTTTGCCCTGCTTGTTCCAGTCTACTCAGCCGAAAATGAGTATGTGGTTGGGCAGTGCTAGAATTGTTGAATGCTAGCTGTGAGCTCTTAAATGGCAGCACCGGATGTATGCTCCCCAGGGAGTTGAGAAAGATATTGGCTGGTTGCAAAGGCCCTATATAATTTGTGAACCGCTTTGAGACGACCTACAAACTAGGTTGTGATAAAGCGGTATATATGAACCTCGAATAATTTTTATTATTACTACATAAAATACAAGAAATCCCAAAGAGATGTTAATTTGTATACAGTCTATCCACCATCCATCCTCGATACTCCAGGGGTTACACTCACTATCACTATCTGCAACCCTGGTATGTGTCATAGCAATAGTAAAGGCTCAGTGTGTGCCACCTTGTTGAAGAGACAAGAAGACTTGTTTGATCCTTTCATATACATCAAAAGAATCTCGCGGTCGAGTAACAGTAAAAATTGACTGGCTTTTTAAGTCGGGTGTCGCTCCTTGGTAATCTTCAAAGGACAGGTATCAGCCTAGAGATTGATCAAGTTTATTTTCATCTGAGACCAATCAAGCAGCTATCTTTGTACCTTCAATATCGCTATGACATATTCCAGGGGTGCAGAGAGCAAAAGTGACCGTAACCCCTGTATATCGAGGATGTCCACCATCCTAAGATCTTCATTAGTGCAAAGTAAGTTTAAGCTTTTCTGGTAATTTTTCTTCCGTTGGATTTATTGTGGGTTATTTTCTTCAAAAGCAGTGGATAAAAAACAACTGAACCTTCAAAATCAAAGATGGCTGCCTTGTGGCCATCTTGTTTTCCAATCAGTCTCAAAATAAAACATGCCTAACAATTGATCAAAGGGTAATTCCACATGAAATTTGAGAAAAATCTGTTAGGTAATATTTTTTTAGAAACAGTTACAACAAGAAAAGGACAGATGGACAACAGACTACAGACGAAGGACAATTTGATCAGCACACCATGTCATGATGTGGGCTAATTATTATTAGATTTCCTGCTCTTTTTTTCCGGGAAAGATTCCAGATTCCATAATCCATTTACACTTAAAAAAATATGGAAAACTAAAAAAGGTGGGACGAACTGTTTAATTTTACTATAGCGTAAAAGATTGAATCACATTTATTTAAACTAAATATATATCCAGGTAGTCTTGGAAAATATTACCATAACTGCATCTAGTAACTGTTCCATTTTCAGCACTTGACCCGTTCACTCTTGTGAATTTTGAAACAATATGTAGTTGAACGCGACAAGACATGAAGGCATTTACCTGAGGTTATCTCTGTCGTTGATCTCCGTCGACCAATGAAAGTTCTCTATATAGTACATGTTACTGGCCAGGTGAGTACATCTGGACTGGGCTATCACAGTCACCTTTAATATAGAAGATCGTGTATTAAACAGTACAAATAATTATTTTGGGACATTGATTACAAGGCCTACATGAAGTTCCACTACGTTTTAATCACATTAGAAGTAACCGGTCTAAATGTGGTTCCACTACGTCTTTAAGCACATTAGAAGTAGTATACAGTAAAGATGTAAACACTTACAAGAATTGGAATAAGGTCATCAGATGTGAGACGTGGAATATCTGGAATTGACAAAATTCAAAATCATTAAGGAACCTGTCATTCGCTCTTTGTGCTGGGCCCCTTTCGCCCATCTGGTTCAACTGTTTCAACCAGCTTCACCTGCTTGTTCGATTTTACAAAACAAAACGTAATCACAGTAATTTTAAAGAAAACAACAACAATGGTATGAGGTTTGACAACTTTATTATGTAATGATAATATGCTACTTCATCTAATATCTTTTGGCAAATGGGGGCGACAAATGCACGAGTAGCCCCCAGAAATATACATGTAAGACTAGGCTGGAGATGGTCATGACTGTGGCAGTAGGGCTTTTACCTACTGAGGAAAGTCGGGCTGTTCCCTACTGGAGAAAGTAGGGCTGTTACCTACTTGAAGTTTCATGACCATGGCGGAGCCTGAGACCAGAGGAACCTGAAGTTGCCGGGAGGAGAGATGATTGGAGCGACTGCTGCCAACCAGACAGTCATGACCCGGTTTATCCAGCCTATTTATAGATGAGAGATGAGCTAATGGGCTCAGACAATGAATATGTAGGAATATTTAATTATTTGGGGGCACTTATATAGGAATTATATAAGAAAGCCTGCCCGAGGTGGGTAAAGTACATTGGTCGCACCCAGGTAAGTATGTAATGTAACACGAGGGCGAATTAGAAGATGATATTGGTCATTCATTGCAAGGTGTATATATGTGTTTAATGGAGGTGGAGGGGTGGATGGATGGATAGCGAGTGATGCAGACGTCTTCAGCCTCGGCTGTAGAATGAGAGCGAGGCTAGTGACGTATGTGTGGTCAAGATGTAGTGGTCAAGCTTGCCTGTGTAATGAGGATGCGCAGTGGAACATGTTATGTGCATGTAAGATACGCTCCGATCCCACGAGAGTGAGGTATGGAAACAGCTGGGTGTTGGGAAATTATTGTAATCTTTAAAACTTTGGTTAACAAATAACCATCACATAATGACAATATATACCAGTGTGTCTGTCAGCGATGTGACGGGAAAGATCTGCATCCCCATATAGTCTGGTGTCAACCTCTGAAACTTCTAATGAGGGAGATCTCCCTCATTCATCATTTCCAATGAGGGAGAAAGTGGGTGAAATGCGTTTGAAACTGTTTTTCTCAATTCATCTTTCCCTTTTCATGTATTAAAATAACTCCAAAAAGCATTCATTTGATTCAGACACACCTGTTATGATCATTACACACACCCTGCAGTAACTAGGAGATCACTTGACCACAGGATGTAGATTTTGAGTTTGTGTGAGTTTGGACTTAGATGAGGGAGTTTCGAGGGAGATTGGTAAATTTTGGTCAAAATGAGGGAGTCTCCCTCCTAATGAGGGAGGGTTGACAGCTACTGACCCCTTACTGATAGGATGTTTATACATGATCGGGGCCTAAAGTTGTTTAACTGGCACGTACACATGTTTACAAGAAAGAAACTCAACATGTGGCATATTCATAAACAAATTGTCCGTCATAGATGACTACAAGTGTTGCACAGCCAGAGTACTATTCGTTAATCAGGTATTTAAAAAAATTTGTTGATGTGAAAACAGATCCGGTTGAGCGAGTCCTGCGAGGCTATTAATGCATTGCCGATAGCCAAAATTGATAAAAGATTATGTAATTTTAGTACTCAAATTTTGTATTCAAACAATTCGAAATGTGGGTAAGCAGGGTTTAAACTATCACTAGATAGAACAAGAGGCCCATGGTCCTTAACGGTCACCTGAGTCCTCCAGTATTGTGTTGTTGTTGTTGTTGTTTGTTGTTTGTTGTAGTTGTTGTTGTTGAAATAATTATGTCAAAGGAGAATAGTACATTATTTGTCATACAAAAAAATGTATTTCACCAGTGCGAGGTCCATCAGTCAATTATCACTACCAAGTTGGAGTAACACTAGAGAAATGTGTAACACATGAATGTCCTTTACCACAGAAAAATGTATCTCACTGTTTGACAATTTTCTATAAATAGTAACAGTGACCTTGACCTAGTAAACATTGGCGGCCATATTTGATTTCTGATGGATGCGAAAAATAACAACACTTTGTCAGGACCATGAGTCGTTCATTCCTACAAGGTTTCAGTTAAATCTGCCCATTATAACTTTACTTTAAGTTTGAAATAAAAAATATAAAAAAATGGTGGCGTATGTGGCCATATTGGATTTCTGAACGACCAAACAAATAACAACACTTTGTCAGGACCATGAGTCGTCCATTCCTACAAGGTTTCAGTTAAATCGGCCCATTATAACTCGACTTTACGTTTGAAATAGTTTTTTTCTTAAATTGTTGCATTGGCGGCCATATTGAATTTCTGAGCAACCCGAAAAATAACAACACTTGGTCAGGAAGATGTCAGTAACATTCCCAGGAAATATATATGAAATCCCTTTAACAGTATTTCAGCTTAAGTTGAAAATGTAAAATGTTATCGGACGACACACGACGTACGACGCACGATGACGGACGAAGACGGATAGCAATAGGTCACTTGAGCTAAAGCTCAGGGAACCTAAAAATTATTGTTTTCATTGTAAAAAAAATGTTTTGAACTTCCTGCTGTTTCGAAGAAACTGGAGGTTTACTGTTTACCTTTTTAATAAAATTCTTTTAGATTTTTCACAAGCCTTTTTTTCTAGAGTGTATGTGCTTCAATGTCTAGACAACCAAAAAGTGAAAGTAGACTTGCTCCCAGTTGTGTTACTTACCTTGAGAACTTTTCAGAGATATACTGGTATTGTGGGTATCTATCACATGTGACATAATGGTCTCCGTAATACAATCCTGAAAAATAAAAAATAAATATAAATTTTACAAAATATACAAACTATCTAAATAACAGGTCTCATATTACATTGCATAAATAAGTGCTTGCTCTGTGTTACTCCTATTTTGTTAAATTATTTTCTGTATATTGTATATGTCACCCTTACAAAATACTAGCCTCTTCCTACGGACTAGGCTTAAGGGAGAATTTCTCTTAAGTTCATTGGGTTGAACGTAAAACTATTAAGCCAGAGGTCCTGAGTTGGACTCCTGGCCAAGGCATTGAAAAAATAATGACCTCTGTTACATAAGTGCCCATGTAGGGACCAGGAGATATGACAAAAATAATCAGTGACACTTGCAGAGGAATCGCTATGACCCCTGGAAAAGTCAGGATGAGTTCTTTCCTGAAAGGGAGAGTATATGTCACCCTGGTAAAATAATAGCCGCTTCCTACCGACAGGGTGGGTAGTTTGGATATTATATCAAAACGAAAATGTTTGGCCTGGTTGAACTTGTGAAAACGACAAAAAAGTCTCAGCCAATCAGAGGCTATGGTGGCCATTTTGAATTTGAATCATCCAATTAAAATCAAATTATCCCACTTCTCTGCCATCAGGAATATAAAGAGAGGGTGGAGGGAGGGGTGGAGGGACACATCCTTCTTTTATAAGAAATGTACAGATTTACCGATATTTCAGAAGTTATAATGAGACAATACTAGGGAACCTACTATGGTTGTTTTAAGGCAATGTAACTTCTCTAGGGGTGTCTTCAATCCATCAACATTAGCCAGCTCGACAACCTGGAACAGAAATTATCAACACATCAAAATATCCAATAACTTACCACTGCTATGTATAAAGATCAACTGAATGTTATTACAATGTAAATCTCTTTGCTAAACCATTAAATTACAAAGATATACTGCATACCGGGTAATTTTCGCCCAATCAAATATTCGCCTTACACCGGTAAAATCCATGTTCACCCTGTGTTAATTTCACCCTTAAGATGTAATTACTATTTAGGGTATGCTGTTTACTTACATTCGTTGTTATGATGAATTAGCCGTCAGTGTGAAGGGCCAAAAAAGGCGAAAAATTAAACTGCGGCGAACATTTCCCAGTATACAGTAACTACAGGTGTATTGTTAAAATGCTCAATTTTACCCTGTAACTATCAAGATTACGACTTAAAGTTTTATATCAATAATGAAGATTGGAAAATATTTATGCCAGATCACATTCTGTTACAAATGCGACAGACGATTTCTCACACAACCTATTGAAATTTAGTTTGCTGTTTATATGAACACAATATGCCATACAACCTTGCAATTGTGACAATCAAAAGCAATGCTGTCAGTTAATATCTTGAAGTACAAGTTGGTGAGAGACACTCAATATCATGGCCTCAGAAATGACAGCAACACCTAAAGGTTTCCTCACTCCCAAATCATTGGATAAACTTAGGGCTGGTCAACATTTTGGATTACCCACTAGTGCGTACATATGCAAGACCACACACACGAATCAGAAAGCACAAGTTCATTGTGCGGACGAATATATTCACGAGTGCGCGGAGCACACAAGTGAATATATATGTTTGCGCAATAAGGAGTGCTTTCTGATTCATTATAAAAACACAAGTGTGTGGTCTTGCTTTTATCACATACCTTCCGTATTTGGTAGAGATCGATACAAAGATTTTATAAACTTTGATATTTTTTGCAAATACCGGGAACTTTTCAGTTCGCTATGACAAGGGGATTCCCATAAATAGTAGTTCCGGCTAAGAGGTAAATACAACATTCCGTATTGCACATGTGCAAAACATAACATTGTATTTCATGGTCTGAAAATTGCTCGTATTACAAGATTCAACAGGTATGTGCTAAAACCCTAGATGTAATTTCATTGGTCAGTCTTTTAATATGGTGTCAGGAAACAATGCTGTGTGATGGCATCTTCCATCGTAGTGTTCATGACAATTTTTTCCCGGTCGGAAACAGAAATATTTGTATTGTTAAATGTTTAAGAGAAAATATGGTTTTCTAGATGTTATACAGAATGTTATGCGAGAAAAAACTCCCCAAACTTGTGATGGTATATCATAATGTTTACCTAACTTGAGTAAGTCGGAGGACACTCAGTAAACCGTGTAACCATGATAACCAATCAACACTTGTTGAGAAACCTCTATTTATAGATGGCGAACCTCTATTTATAGATGGCGAACTTCTATTTATAGATGGCGAACCTCTATTTATAGATGGAGAACCTCTATTTATAGATGGAGAACCTCTATTTATAGATGGCAAACCTCTATTTATAGATGGCGAACCTCTATTTATAGATGGCAAACCTCTATCTATAGATGGAGAACCTGTATTTATAGATGGCGAACCTCTATTTATAGATGGCGAACCTCTATTTATAGATGGAGAACCTCTATTTATAGATGGAGAACCTCTATTTATAGATGGCAAACCTCTATTTATAGATGGCGAACCTCTATTTATAGATGGCAAACCTCTATCTATAGATGGAGAACCTGTATTTATAGATGGCAAACCTCTATTTATAGATGGCGAACCTCTATTTATAGATGGCAAACCTCTATCTATAGATGGAGAACCTCTATTTATAGATGGCAAACCTCTATTTATAGATGGCGAACCTCTATTTATAGATGGCGAACCTCTATTTATAGATGGCAAACCTCTATTTATAGATGACGAACCTCTATTTATAGATGGCGAACCTCTATTTATAGATGGCAAACCCTATTTATAGATGAGCAGCTGACTCTCTGATACTGAAAATTACAAATTTGTCATAGTATATATTTGCAGAAACTTGTGTGAAACCTCAATTACTAAATCAAACACCACAATTATTTTTTTCTCAATCATTTATAAATAACATTTTGCATTCATGTTTTGTAAATAAAATTTCATGTTCTTGAGAACATTTATGAAAGTTTATGAAAATCATGTGTACACAAAATGTAAGATATTTGTAGCATATACTTACTGCCCCAGGGAGAGGACAGCTGAAGTCTTGAATGACCTTCAACTTGTCAGGGGTCACGCCCTCTAGGTGTTTACATTTCTGTAAAAGGCACTTGTCGTCTGCTCGTAACTTTTCACAAATGGCACGAAATACCTTGGTGTACACACTCCCGACAACGTAGCTACAATTAGGCGGGAAACACAACTCATTTTAATTAGGAAAAGGAAAGTTTTACAAAGTTAATCAATTACATGTCAACAGGTCTACAGTATCTCAAACATCTTTGAAATTGTTGAAGGTATTGTTTGTTTGCTTGTGTGTTTGTTTGCTTGTGTGTTTGTTTGCTTGTGGTTCAATGACCTTGCAACAGCTAAGGTCATATGAAGACAAGTGCCTAGGGAGGCACAGCCAAAAAAGAATGAGTAGAGAGAGAGAGAAAGAGGGGGAGAGAGAGAGAGAAAGAAAAAAGGGTGGGAAGGGGGAATATATAAATCGTAATATTACCACTCCACCCAGGAAAGTGACTGACTGTAGTTAACCATGCTTAATGTTCAAAAGCATTGTTTCAAAGTTTCATTAGCTGAAGTTATCTTGATGGATTTTGAGTTATAGCCCCATAAACACTACCAGACGGAGAGAAGCACGGATGGACAGAACCCATTTGTATATCCCCCGCCAACTTTGCTGAGCGGGGGATAAAAAGTATAATGGAAAATCAAGTTCAAATATTATTTTTTTACAAATTTCCAACATCCAGGAATCAACATGGCTGCAGGAAAATGTATATTTCATAGGTGTATGCACGAGAGTCTACATTTCTATGAGGGAGTCCATACTCCTACCATCCTCGATACTCCAGGGGTGACGCTCACTTTTGCTCTCTGCACCTCTGGAATATGTCACGACACAATCGAAGGCTCAGTGTGCACTACCTTGTGTATTCGACCAGAAGACCTGTTTGATCCTTTGATGTACATCAAAAGGATCTCTCGGTTGCGTAACGGTAAAATTGACAGGCTTTGAAGTCGGGTGTCACTCCTCTATAATCTTCAAAGGACAACAATCAGCCTAGCGATTGGTCAGGTTTTTTAACCTGAGACCAATCAAATAGTTAGTCGCATGCCTTCAATTTTGCTATAACATATTCCACTAATACAGGGGTACAGAAAGCGAAAGTGAACGTAGCCCCTGGAGTATTGAGGACATGCTCCTAGCTACCTTTCCATGAGTGTGTCTAGCTCCTCCCGAGTCAGATGAGTTCTGCCCTTCCGCTGTCTCTGCCCACACTTCAGACATTTCTGGAACAATAAGACACACAATGTTATTGACAAACTTTTCCTTTTTCTCAAGTTTTACAATTTTCCTACAGCAAATTAAGTTACATTTCTAAACATTTTTGTAAGGTTGGTAAGTATGGATTATGAAAAGTTCATCTTAACACAACGAATAATGTTTTCTATGTGACGTTTCGATGACTAGTACGATATGTACACTGTCGCCTTTATCAGACAAATGACCAGTGAAGTGTATGCACACAAAGGTGTAAAATGCGTACGAGTTGTCCACAAAATCAATATACATATACAACAATGATTGTACATACGCTTACAGCGTAGCCAAAATCGACATTAATTTTGTGGACAACTCATACACATTTTACACCTTTGTGTGAATACGCTTCACTGGTCATTTGTCTGATGAAGGTGACAGTATACATATCGTACTAGTACACATCGTAACCAAAACATTGGTTACTTATAACTGATTTCTGTTAAACCTATTTCAAGATTAATGGTTAATCATTTCAATGAGAATCAAATGCAGGAATATTAGAATCTTTCACCCCCTTGGGGATGAGATAGGGGAATCTCAACCCGAGGGGGAGGATTCTTAAGTTGCCAAACACGAGGCTTTGCCGAGTGTTTGGCAACTTAAGAATCTTTCCCCGAGGAAAAAAAGCAATTACCTGTAACTGAGAAAGATCGGGTTTAATCTCAGTCGAGGGCCAAGATTCTGTAACATCCCAACCTCGGCTTACGCCTCGTTTGGGATTTTGTTACAGAATCTTAACCCTTGACTGAGATAACCCTTTCTCGCTCAGTTACAGGTAATAGACTTTATTAATCTCACACAGGGAAAAGTGTGGATACACCTTTCCAGGGTAAGACAAAAAAGCATATTGACTCCACTGTTGAATTGCTGATGAATGACTAGATAAGAATCACTGCAATGTGCATGGTCATCGTACCTCTACGGCTGCTGTACTGATGTCCTGGAGTCGCTGACACGCATCATCCATGTACTCGGTCAGAACCATATAGTTAGCCTCAAATAACCGTACACTGTCATCCAAATTCTTCATCGTCTGTAAAACACACACAGAAATTCATTACATTATGGGTAGTATAGCTCACATAAGTGAACGTGTCAAGGTGGAATTTAGGAATGGAGGGCACTTATTAAATTTTATATGATAAATATTCAAGTTCAGAATTGTTAAGTTTGACCATTTTGAAATTATTTAAATAACAAAATTATGATTTTAATTGCAACCCACCTGCCCATATTCCTCAGATAAAATCTCACGGCACCTGCACAAAACAAAACATATGATTAAGATTTTTAAATTATTAAATAGCTGCATTATAAATAAGGTAAACTAAAAAATTTAATGTATGAATTCATGCAGTTTTTTCCCCTAGTCATCTAGATCTGGGCAAACAAGGTCTATATAAAGTACAATGATTATAAGTACAATTTGATGGTTTAGGGAATATTTTATATAATTGTAAATAAAAAATCTTCAAGCCAATCTCAAAAGATTTTTTCTATAAAAAATCACATTGCAATCAATATTACAAAATTATAGTTGTTAAAAATTTGAATGTTTGAATATACAGAAATAAGAATTAGAAAACACAAAAACAACATGGGTCAAAGTCATGGCCTTCATATTACAAAGCCTATGCTTTATCAATGTTATCATAAAGAAAATATAACTGCAAAGCAACAGAAGGCATATCCAAGTTATGAAAAACTTCACAAGGGAAGTAACTCTAAGCCATAAGAACTCCTTTTGTGTTGCTTCATCTTCTTTATAGAAGAAAGAATATTCCAGGTCAAAATATTGACAGAGCTAATGGCATTTAATTAAACTATAACCACTGGAAGTGGCAGGAAAGCTCTAAGGATCCCTGTCCCACTGTACAGTGTTATTTTGTATATACAGTAACCTCCCGTTAACTTCTGTTAGGTTAAACTGTCGCACCGGGTGGCTCAATTGGTAAAAGCAAATTCATATAACAAGTCCAATGTTCGAATCTCAGAGTGGCTTGGCCTGCTGAATTTTTTCCACTCAGAACACTGCTGTTGATTTAATGTGTTTATTTCATCTTTATTATTTCTCATAAAAGTTCCCACAAGGCATAGTTTTTTCCCCAGAAATGGTGTATAGTCATGCAAAAAAAATAACTGTTTAAAACACTTACTTAAAAGTTTTTCCAGTAGTACGGGGATCCTTAAATTATTGAAAATTACTGTACAATGACATGCTGCAGGGATCAGATGTGAAATACAGAATCGGATGATAAAGGATGAGAGATTGAATGAAGTGCTACAGGTCCTATACTTACTCCGAAACTGACAAAGCATTGTCCTTGTCTAAAATTCTTTCACTTATTTTTCGATCCCTTGCCTGCAATTAAAGTCTACATTATGCATATGGTATATTGAATAATAGAAAAAAGGGTAACAAAGCACTAATATTTGCATACTGCAAACAGGAAAATTTTCGCTGCAGTTAAATTTTCTCGTTTTGCCCTCAATAATGAGAGCGAATTTAATTATGAACATTTGTAAACTAATTAAATGTGAAGGGCGAACCTTCCCAATATACAGAACGACTTTATATACCGGGCATATATATACCTGGTACTGAACAAGTAAAACATATTGCTCATCATTTCCCATGCTGTATCAAGAAAATAATAATAATAAAAAAAATCGAATTATTTTTCCTCCATTTTTTAAACTGTAAAATTTTACATTGCAAACTTTTTCTAAGTTAATAGAAAAACAGATAATAAAGGTCTCACTGCACCATACAATATATAACACTTTTTTTTTGTTTATAACATCGACTACAGTAAAACCTTACATAGCAAACACCTGTCTAAAATGGCAACCCGTCTTTAGTGACTATCTGTTTAAAGTGACCACCTGTCTAAAATGACTACTTTCTAAAGTGACCCACCTGTGAAGATGTCACCTGAGTAAAGGTGTCCAGTGGTTTTTCTATCACCAGGATTTTGAACGGCTTGTAGTCCTGATTAAGAAATGAATAAAGTTCAAGATACATTTAAACAAATCAAGAAATTTTAGTCACATCACACCTAACTCAAAATGTTCTTGGTGTGAACTATTTAGCCTGTAATGTCTCTGTGAAGGTTAAACGAAACATAATGATCATATCTTCGTTACAGATTCAATGCAAGGCATTACTGGCAGAATCAGAGATAGCCAAATCCTTGCTAAATTTACAATCATCTTATAGGACGTGTCTCTAAGATTCTTGACAGTGAAACCTATCACTCCTCCTGTAATTATTGCTGAAAATTAATACAAGGTAAAACCTGTCAAATACAACACCCTGTGATACACAACATATTGGTCAGATGAACCTGTCTCATATGACACCCTGTGAAAAACAACATATTGGTCAGTTTAACTTGTCTAATCTGACATCCTATGAAAAACAAGGCAAAGTATTGCAAGGCAATCCATAGTCGTCCAACGGTAATGATTTCTATATTTTACAAACAGTACACTTATGTCAGGAAACATAGGTCACATTGTGGTCACAGTGACCTAATTCTTGCAATCCGCCATCCCAAGATGTCCTTGTACATCAATCTTGTTACTCCAGGTGAAATAGTATAGAAGATATGCCCCGGACAAATATTTTCAAAAGTAAAGGTCAAAGGTCATGTCATATGTCACAGTGACCTAGTTCTTGCACTCTGCACTCCCCCATCCACAGATGTCCTTGTACATCAATCTGGTTACTCCAGGTGAAATAGTACAAAACATATGCCCCAGACAAACTTTTTCAAAAGTTAAGGTCAAAGGTAAAAGCAGATGTCACAGTGAGGTCATAGTGACCTTTTATTTGCACTCTGCACTCTGCCATCCCAATTCAAGATGTCCTTGAACACCACAGCCGGTTACTCCAGGTGAAATAGTATAGAACATATGTTCCGGACAAACTTCTAAGATGGAAGGACAGACAGATGGATGGAAGGAAGGATGGACGGACGGAGTGCAAAACCTATAGTCCCCCCTGGAAACCGATGGGGGACTAACAACATATTGGCAGGTTAACCTGTCTAATCAGACATCCTGTGTGACACAACATATTGGTTTTATAAACCTGCCTAATCTGACACCCTTCGAGTAACAACATATTTGCAGGTTAACCTGCCTTATCTGATGCCCTTTGTGACACAAAATATAGGTCAGATTAACCTGTCTTATCCAACATAACATATCTGTCAGATTGGACAGGGTGTTGGAATACACATGTGTCTTATTCTGTGGAAAAGCTATCACAGCATTATGTTGGATAGGACAGGTTGTCAGAATATTCTGGTGTCTGATTATGTATATAATGACGTCAAGCAAAGAATGCCATCTTACCTTGTTATAGCCTAGTTCTTCACTCAGTATCTTCACTATACATGGACAGGAAAATCCTGGAAACAGTGAGTAGCACATTTTCAATACCAGAATACTCACTTGTTTGTTTATAAATATGAATTATTGTTTAATAGCCAATTGACACGTTAAGGCCATTTTGAGCAATTATACAGTAAAATAGGCATACAGTCCTAAATCAATGGAGGCCAGTTTAAAGATGAAATTATTAGGGTAGAAAGAAAAGGACGTAAAATTTTAGGGGACCAGTAAATTTCGCTTAATATCACTTCTCATTTGTCAGAAGAAACCATGATATTAATCTGAGCATGACATAAAAAGAAAACCTGTTTTTCTGACTATTTCAGATGTCGAAACCCGATGGCCCCATAATTAAATGTCCAAGTGGTATGATTTTACAAAGAAGATCGTTTAGTAAAATTATTTGTAACTGACACAGATTTTTCTTTAGTAACAGTGAAGTAATCGTCTTTTATTTGTCTATTTCATTGAAATATGAAGCTTCTAACCTTCATTTACCATTGATTTTTTTGTGACAGTTGCCAAAGTAACGTGATATTAAGAAAAATCGACACCAAAACAAGTGATAATAAAAGGAATGAATTACATAAATTATATAACAGGAAAAAAACGGTGCATCAAGAAAACATGATAATAACCAAAGTGACATTTCACTGGGTCTATTATTTCCTCCAAACCCAAAAGAAGGATTACAGTGGTGTCTACTATATTGAACTTTGATATTCTGTTTCCAATTTGTACTTAACAGTTTTATACCAGATAATTTAGTGCAACAATAGTTTGCGAAGTGAAAAATATTAGGTCACAGTGACCTACATTTGATATACTGTTGTACATGTAGTCCTTTTCATGACTTTCATGAAGTAAATGTTGGACTTGCAGTAATAAAGTCATATTGTTTAAGTTAAATGAAAAGCCTTACTAATGGATGAAGTCATACGAACAGAGATGTTACGGACAAACAGAAAAGGCTAACACCCCGGCCATTAACCCCCCTACCATTGTGTTGTGGGGACATAAAGATATGGTTTTTCAGAGGTGTACTGTATTGATAGGACAATTTCTCAAATTTCCCTGTGTGTAAGATAGAGCTGTCCAGGGTAAGTAAGGGTTGTAAGATAGAGTTGTCCAGGGTAAGTAAGGGGTGTAAGATAGAGCTGTCCAGGGTAAGTAAGGGGTGTAAGATAGAGCTGTCCAGGGTAAGAAAGGGGTGTAAGATAGAGCTGTCCAGGGTAAAAAAAGGGGTGTAGGAAATTTCTATCTGACACCCCATTTCATGTGACATGACGTCACAACCTGGCTCAACAATGACGTGACGTCACAAATTTGGAACTCTCTGATGCTGCAATGCGGAATAGGCGACGTGATGAAATTAAAACCTTTTAGGATATATTTACTGTACACGCTAGAAAGATGTGATTATTTTTTCTGCGCAGACATCGTTTGCAAATATGGGATATGCTTACCGGTAATCTGGCTGGCTGATTCGTTTTTGTCTAAAAAGCTCAGTGGAAAAATTTATATTTTCAAAATGGTGGCCAGTCCTAACGCATTTTCATGGTTTCTGGGCTTGTTCTGGTGGTTGGAATGAGAGAAAAATACTCTTTCATGCCTAAAGGTGTAGGATAGGGAAATTCCACCCTCGGGTTTTACCAAATTTGAAAACCCCTTGGGTGGAATTTCCCTATCCTACACCCCTGGGCATGAAAGAGTCTTATATTATTGCCAAAACTCATTATGTTCTTGTGTAAAACTATTAATTGGTAAGATCATGACTCGGTAAGACAATTTATCGGTAAGACAATGTATTGGTAACAAGACAGCTCACCTTCACCCGTTCTAAGTTCCTTTCCATTTTCTTCCAGATGAACAATTCTTTCACTCGACTTCAGAGTAAGAAATTCACTGCGAAAGATTGTTCAATGATGCGGTTATTTAAATATTCATTGATGATAACTTACAACAAGGAAAGGAATGATATTTACAAGCCATTCAAGTGCATTTGAGTCCAAAGTTACGCATAATAAAGACAGTAGGTCCGGTATATGATTCAATTTAGTACCAGTGGGTACCGTGAAAACAACATTTTTGAATATCTTGAGCTCATTAACTGAAGTAATACCAACAGCTTGCGGCTAACGCCTTAGCTAAAAAACAAGATCAATTCCTGAAGTCTATAAAGTCATTTTTATGCAGAGTTTCTTAATTTCTTCCTAACTGTAATATATATTGGTGGGCTTATTACCAAACATGGGCTTATTAGCAGATAAATACGGTACATCCTGAATACTGAATTGTATCATTCCAAACAAGTGACTGATAATTGACTTGATATTTTGATAATTGTTTTGATAATATACAATTACATTTATGTATTTATAATCTGATAAAATACAATTACATGTATGTATTTGAAATCTTTGTCATGATAACAAAATACAGACCTATACTAGAATACGATTGAACATGTTTGACACCCCCCCCCCCCCACGTAAATTGTATAATGACAATGGAAATGCCTTTCTCTGTATTCTGGTTTAAATTTTTGATCCCATTGGTTTTTTTGTTTTTTTGGGGTGGGCTTCCTGAACTATTAATCTCTCTCTTCGAGAGAATTGTCCACCATTTTATAGCTTAATTAGAAAGAGAAAGTTACACATTTGCTTCATTTTTTCTAGGCTTATTCAAAGCACTGAGAAGACTGTGATAAGCATATTATTATCATAAAAATACGAAACGGATATTGGAAATGGAAAGAAATTTCCAGAATCAGCAGAAATAAGACAAAATGATACATTGAATAAGCAAAATTATAAGACGTATTTTTATGTTAAAGTCGTAAGGATTAAGTCAAAAGAGGAGGGGTTGGCACCTCTGCATGGTTCTACCACTACACAAAAAGAAATCTATTGAAAAATGAGCAAAGGTATTTTGTGAAATTTTGTACATAAAGGGGCATAACTCTCTTAAAAAAGTCTGAAACACTAAATCATTTCAGGGGGCACAACTGCATATATATGCTACTGTCACTACACAAAAAAAAAATATATATATCAAAAAATGAGCGTAAAGTTGTAAATGAGCATAAAAATATAGATAAGTATATGATATTGTACCTTTGGAAATATGGAGATGGCCTCAAAATGTGAGTTTCTGAAGAAAAAAGAAGACAAATCAAATGCATATAAAATATATATATATAGAGATGGGCAATAATATTGCAACACCAATGCACCGACGTTACAGCAGTATTTGTGTGGCAATTCATATATATATATGTATATCACAATAGCATTTCGAAATGACAATATATATATATCTGGCGATACTTTTTTCAACTCATTTTTGGGGGATAATTTAAAGTACTTGTTCTATGAAATAATTATTAAAGCAATAATGTTAAGATTAAATTAACATTACCAAAATCAAAATTGTCTGGTTTGATAGCTTCAATTTTTTTTATGAAAATATTTTTAATTTATAATTAAAAATTTTGAACTGAAGTTCACTTTATGTCTTCAAATTAAAATGCTTTTGAATTCATTAAATTTAGGAATGCAATATATTGTGACATATTGTTATACACATGTACAAATATTCCTTTAATATTGCAAGATATTGCAATACAAAAATTGATACCCATTCCTTCCCTGGCAAAACTACATCAACTCACTCAGATCCTAATATTACAGAAATATCATACAAAATCACTTGATAAAACTGTCAAAAAAAAGTTTAAGTACTATTAGCCAGCCACAAAATATGTTACATGGATCTCAAATATTTTCAGTGGCAGTCTACATTATGACAGAAGTGAAATTGACCCCTGACCTCATACATTTATTGAATGAGTGATGACTCACCACAAAACTATCCCGATACATTGGACCAATATGACAATCAGCTGTTATTTGACCCTGAACTGATAACAACAGATCAGCACACAAATTTGTGTACACTACACGTCCATATACATATTAATTGTTATATTGATGTATAATTGGGTGCATTTCAGCTTATTGTTCCTGAAGTTTTGTATTTTTTTTTTCTAGATTTTCTTTCATCAAAAATTAAGAAAAAATATTTTATTGAACTTTTTTTCAAAATCAGATTTTATACCTATAGACATGAAATATTAATTTTGATGTACTACTACCAAATGTAAATATGAGTTTTATAAAGATGAGATCTGACGTTCAGTATGGACGAAAAATCAAAATTTTGGTGACAAAGAATATTTAGTCCTGAACTACACTTACCGACAAATCTTTTGGAGATGTCTATGTTGCCGAGGGAGGATTGCTGGGGGATACACACAGTAAAACATCTCTCCTGGGCCGCCTCATACACGTCCAGGTAGGATGTCTGAAACATACACATATAGACAAACTTTGATGTTTCGAACATTGGGAAAAATTCAAAACATTCAGATTTGATTATAAAATGTTGAATATGCAATATAATTATAAGGTTGAATGAGATCCATGATGGATCGCAGACACAAGGAATTTGATTGTATAATTAGAATAAATTAGGTTTATACTCTCCCCACCCCCCCCAATTTATTTTTATTAGGGAGTAGTATAGTCTGTGCTTTGTCTGTCCGACTGACATTCTTGTCCAGGCAATAACCTTAAAAATTCAAGGAACACATGTAGGATAGCAAGGCGATGAGTCAGGTGCCACTATTTAATCAGTATTCCCAAGGTCAAGGTCACATGGATCGGAGGTCAACTTAAAGATTAAATTCATTGTCTTGACCATAACTTCTGACGTACAGTCACTGAAGATAGCTCAATGAAAAATCAAGGATATCTGTATGATGTATCGAATACCACTGTTTAGCATGTAACCAAAGATCAAGGTCACACTGAGGTCAAAGTTTGAATTCATTGCTTGGGCAATAACTTCAGATTCCCAGAAGATAACTTGATGAAATTTAAGGGATATAATTATGTAGAATAGCAAGGTTGAGTTTTGAGTACCACTACTGGATCTGTATCCTCAAGCTAAAGTCAAGGTCACACTGAGGTCGAAGTTTGAATTCATTGCTTGGGCAATAACTTCAGACACCCAGAAGATAATTTGATGGAATTTAAGGGATAGATGTAGGAACGTTAGGCAATGGGTTTTTTTACCATTATTGTTTCTGTATGCATAAGGTCAAGATCATTTTGAAGTAAAAGATCAAGTTCATTGTCTGGGCCATAACTTCTGACTAAATACAGCTTAATTGTTGTATACCATTGTTGCTTCTATATGCATAAGGTCAAGGTCACATAGAAGTAAAAGGTCAAATTCATCACCTGGGCCATAACTTCTGACTGAATATAACTCAGTGAAAGTTAAGAGATATATATGTAGAATGGCAAGGCAATGTTTTGTGTACCACTACTGGATCTGTATGCACAAGCTATAGTCAAGGTCATATAGAGGTCAAAGCTCAAATTCATTGTCCGGGCAACAACTTCTGATCAGAATAAAAAAGGTCAAGGAATTTTTAGGGATAAATGGAGGGTCCTTAAACCCTCAACTTCATGAAAATATATACCTTTTTAAGCTTATGTTGTTAAGAATTTCAAACATATTTTTTAATCTAGCTTTTCTCTGCTGGAGGTTTAACTTCTGTAGACATGTATACAGATTTGATCATACTAACTACACTCCCAGGCTCACGAGTCCAGTAGTTGTTATTGATTGGTACATATCTGGCAGCCCTATGCTGACCTGTTTCCAATTAACAACATAATTGATGTTTTCTGTGGTGCATCATCACCAGGGTCCCAGCATGCATATACTGTACTTGACAGTGTAGTGAACGTTAACCCTTTCATCCCTATGTAACTTGAGTGAACTCTAACATGCATTAATTTGGAAGAGTCCATTATGGTCTACAGTGGTGAAAGGGTGAAGGTCCGAGCTTTCAGGGACTTTTATATAACATAAATTATACAACATATCTTATTTGTGTTTTAATTTTGAGTATGCAGAATCTCTCATGAAAATTTCAAAAAGTTGGTATGTATGGGGCGAACATGTTGCTAACTTATATCACGGACTTAAATAATCTAATTCCGTGCTTATATAGAGGGATATAAGGTAGCTATGGGGCCATAACTGCGGTAGCCATGCATATAGATGCTGATGGGAACTTAAAGGTACAACGTCTACACCACAGAGAATATAACTCAGAATACGTAAACTGTCAGGCTCTACAGTGACTACGTACATATCTGACCTTTACAACTTCCATGATATGCAGTTTCAGGACCACTGGGTATCTGAAACCATTTAATAACCTGTGAATCTAAACCCATTTAGCTATATAAAACTCTAATAATTAAATACTGTCTGCTCACATATATTGGTCAAAAACCACTGGCATTTGCTTCTGTCAATGAAAGTAGTCCTGACAAAAAAAATCACAACCTACCGGTACTCATTTTTTTCCATGACTATTTTTATTGACAGATACAAATGCCTGTGTCAAAAACATAGTTTCATATTTATATTCCTTGGGTCCCTGTGTTTGTCATAGATCGAGTTGAATTCAGATACATACTCATGTATTTATGTGTTGCACTATTTTACCTGAAGGGAACTAAAAAACTTGTTGATGTCTAACTCATCTGTATCCGTCATCACGATGATAATCCTGAAAACAGAAGATGTACGTTCCCACAGAACTCCTGTCCTCATATGACAGGTGAAACAGTTCCACGTCAGAAGTAAAGGTCCGAAATGTTCCGTGTAACACGGCCCAATATGGATAACTCCAAAGTCATTCCGATATTCTGTCATCCGGGCACTTTCAAGATGGTTGCGTTCAAGAGAGCAAGAATTTTAACTGTCGGTTAATGAAGAAAAGTGCGTAAGAACAGATGAATAATTTGGCATTTTGTGGTAGACTAAATATATATATCGCTTTTCGATAATATGCATTTAAAAAGAGCACAAACGTGCTTCATTCTGAAAAGAACCCTTGGTAACTAAACTTTAAAGAGCCCCCCCCCCCCCCCCCCCCCCCCCCCCCCCCCCCNTTGGTGACTTTATAGAGTGCTTCCGTGCGTTCAACTTAACTTGACACACTTAAACAATTCCAAGCAAAGCACAGCATGACAGGTTTGTGTAACAAATATTTTAATTCCAGGTTTGACCAGCAGAGGTACAGAAGTTGTATGCCTACTGTACACGGCTAAGCCTAATGTCGGGTACTGGAGAACCGACAAATCTGACTATATAGCACTATACATATATAGAGCGAATGTAAACAAACACGCCAGTACTGATCGTAATTGTATCTTGCACATCAATTGAATTGATGACCAAACATTTGAGTTGGTGAAATGAAAGATTTTTATCTAAAAACTCATTTTCCAGTACGGTGACTTTATTGAATGTCACTGTTGCAATTCTTGGTACTTGCATCATTTTATCATCTCCATTTGATGGTCAGACATGAATTTTAACGATTTCTCTGTCAAACACAAAATATTTCGCTCTTTCCTGACACATGAACAACTTTCATCGCATGTTATCATTCTTACTCGGAACAGAGACGTATATATTACAGGCAGTGGAAATAAGATATACAGCGAGATTTGGGTTGCGGCTGGACAATCATGCAGAACCGATTCTCTGGATGTTTGTTTCGACAGCTAAAAGCACATGCCGAAGCAGAATGGTATCAATCCTGGTGACAATAGTCTGGTCAGTGTACATGTGTTACCTGTGATAATGTGATTGTGAATTTGTTAGTTCATATCAACATGTCACATATCCTAGACATATATGGCTCATATTAAGAAGCTGGTTAGAAATACTTTATGTGATATCTGACTATGTTTGTGAAATTAAATAATGAACGAGAAAGGAGTGCGTACATGTCATGAAAGGAATTAACCCTAGCACATCACAGCTGCCATTTTAACTTGTTTATTCTGAAAACTGTATTTTCAGAGCTTAAAATTGTTAAACTTTACAAGTATTGTAACAACCTCATTTTAAAAAGCTGGTTAGGAATATTATCAAACAATAATTTCTGACTTTATTGAAACTGTTTAAAGATCAAAAACAGAGTCCTAGTTCTCCTGTAGCCAGAATCATTACTGATATGTAAACACAGCCACGATCTTATAATCACATGTGTAAACTTTGGATGTTTGGTACTGGACTAGGTTGATCATTGGTGACCAGGCTAGGTAACCCAATTAGTTTAGAGCTCATCTAGAGTTCGGAGGGCCCTGGGTTTGAATCCAGACCGGGTTCATCTAGAGTTCGGAGGGCCCTGGGTTTGAATCCCGGTCTGGCTGTGCATTTCTCTTTATCCTGTTACAAGTTACAAGTTCAACCCTTGTTTCCAGCACATGGTGGATGCTTGGCAAGGGGGTACTCAAACCTGGGTTGTAAATAGCTGTGTCTTCTGGGGCAAAGAGTGAGAATCGAAATAGGAGAAAGAAATGTAGCAGAACTGGACTTCGTCGATCAAGGACGATCAGATAGCTCAATTAGTGGAGCGTAGAGCGTCCATCTAGAGTTTGGAGGGTCCTGGGTTTGAATCCCAGTCTGGCCATGCATTTCTCTTTCTCCTGTTACAGATCTCATACACCATTGACCAATATAGCAGTAGGGAAATAAATGTACATGGTTTTTTTATGCTGTTGCTAATTCAGTTAGTTCAGATTGACTGTAGCTGGTGAAATATTTGTTTCCAGTGTATATTGCTGTTGCAAATTTCAATTTTGGTAACAGATCATACTGACTGTAGCAGGACCACATTTGGGATTCATTTGGCAGGTCAAGTGCAGTTATTTTGGAAAATGGAAACATCTAACAGATTAATGATTGATTGATAATCAGTTAGAGCATGTATACATTTGTTAAATTTATTGATATGACATTGACAGTGGAAAGGCTGTGTTCTAGTCTTATGCCATTGAGTCAAGATGTCATCATCAACTAACTTTGTGCTTTAGTATATATGTGTATGCTGTGCAGAATGATTTTCAAAAACATTTGCAAGGTACACTTTAGGTTTTTGCAAAACTAGCAGAAAGTTAGGGATGGGGATGGGGGTTGATAATGACCAATGTTCTGTATGCTTAGTCTGTGGAAACGTATCCCTAACTGGTTTCTGAGTTTGAAAGATTATTGTTTAAACCAAACCACAGTCACAGTGGCTGTTTGCCTATAAATTGACTTTGCCATTGTTATTTCAGAACTGCATAATTAGGGTATATATTAATGGAATCTTTCACCCCCTTGGGGGTGAGATAGGAGAATCTCAACCCGTGGGGGAAGATTCTTAAGTTGCCAAGCACGAGGCTTTGCCGAGTGTTTGGCAACTTAAGAATCTTTCCCCGAGGGTTGAGACTACCTTATCTCAACCACAAGGGGGTGAATGATTCTTTTTCTCTTACCCTGTTCTACCATTGTGTATCATATACACAATGTAATGATAACGTTACATGCTAAATTCAGGGTTGACGTGGCGTTGATGGATTGTTGACGTGACGTCATTGTATTGTTGAAGTGACGTCATGCCATTGTTATTAAAAGGGGAATCCCCCCGTCTCAACCCTAGGGTGAGACAAGGAAATCTCACACCAGTAAAAGTGCGGATACACCTGTCCAGGGTAAGAGAAATATATATATATCCACTTACAATCACAACCACCAATGCAAGTGGCCTAGGCCTGCTGAGGATCAGCCGGTCTTCCCATTGTGTAAACCAAACTACAGTCACTCACTCACTGTGGCTGTTTGCATATGAATTGACTTTGCCGTTGTTGTTTTTCAGAACTGCATTAGGGTATATATCTGCTTACAATCATGGCCACCAAGCGGCCTGCTGAGGATCAGGCCGCAGGGTCAGGTGGTCCTCCGGCCAAAAAATCCATGACGAGGTTTGATCCTGTCAGCATTGGCACAGTATATAATCTGGTACGTATAATTCATATACAAATGCTCATTGATTTTCCGACGTGTATGTCCCACTTGGCGCCAAAGTTCAGCCCCTTTACACTGTTGAATTTTGTTTGCTTATTCCTCTTTTCAAAGGCAGGTTTTGAGATAAACCACATATTCAATAACATTTTTGATGGGTTATCAAAACAATACAAGCACAAAACGAAATTTTCAGCCCCTTTGCATCATCATGTTTCATATGATTGTTCCTGTATTTGAAGACAAATTTAAAGATTTAACAACATATTTCATCGTAAATTTGATCCGTCGAAAAATTTAGCAGTATAAAAAAAAATAAAAAATATCTCCTTCATTATATAGATTAGATTTTTTTTTTTGACCATTCCACTGTTTCCTGAACATTATGCAAGGAAACAGTGCATGTAAAAAAAATAGGGAAATTTCACTGATTCTATTTAGTGTTAGATACATTTTTCTAGACATTTCTCTTGAACACACAAGAAAGGCTTATCGATTCCTCTGTACTTTTCATTTGTTATATTAGAATAATAGTACTCTTTATGGTGATAAGAGTCTTTGACATGAAAATGCATTTAATACTAATGCTCTGTTTACAGGAAGAACTAGACATGAAGGTACTGAAGTTCCAGAACAAAAAGTTGGTAGAAAGGATCGAGCTTCGTCGTCGTGCTGAAGACGAATTGAGGAAAAGGATCGATCAGCTGGAAAATCGTCAGCGCACTGATGACGCTGTTCTCATGATTGTCAACCGATACTGGAATCTGGTCAGTAAAAATTGTATCCCAGGTGTAGCATTCTATTCAAGTTTTGTCTCCGAGCTTCTTTCTCAATTCTACAGAACACTCCTTCCAGAATTTATTTTGTTGCTTCTAACTCATCTTTTCAAGTTCACATGCTCTCCTTTGCTATACATCGTGAGGTAACAAGTGTGTAAAATTTTGATTTAGATTTATCTAAAGAAATAAATACAAGCATTGATTTAATTGATAATATATTATAGTATTAATATAGAACTCCTTATAAAAAGCCTTCTTTTGTCAGATATCATTTGTGATATTTATTAATCCTTAAAACATATTGAAGAAATTTAAAAAAAAAAAGACTTTTATTTTGTTGTTGTTTCAGCTTGATGAAGATGCACGTGTGTTACTGCAGAGGTTTGATGCAGAGACGGCTGATGAAACAGAGACCAAAAGTAATGGGATTTCATCTTAAAATGTTTATATTACACTTTTATTAATAATCTTTGATCTTACTAAAATATGTACATCCTGGTACTTGGTACTTAAATGCAACATTTGATAATGTTAAATAAATTTGAGCTTTAAATGAAGAGTTTAAGAAGAAGATTCTTTTCAGCAACTTCAGTTTTGGAGAACAGTTTTGGGACTTTGCAATCTTCCTTTTTTGAAGAGAAATTAAAATGCACAAAATATATGAATATGCTTGTTCTTGGCACTTTCAGCTCGAAATTAAATTCGTGCAAATTATGTTTGTGTTATTTACAAGTATTCAAAATGTTCCACCTCAGCCAAATGTTCAAGCTTTTAAAGCAATGACAATCACTGACAGAAAGACAGACAGATATAGATAAGATGAAAATATACTATCCATCACTTGTACTTTATTTGTGTGTGGATTGTGGGGTTGTTATAATGACAGTACGTATACCTGTATAATATTATTTGTGAACTGCTTTGAGACGACCTACAAACTGGGTTGTGATAAAGCGGCATATAAGAACCTCAAATTACTATTATTAGTATTATAATATGTGTATTATGCTCTCAAGTATTACTGTGATACAACTATTTTAACAAAACACCTTCTGTTGATAGACGAGAGTGATGCAACAACAGCATTTCTCACCCTGCTGTCTACCTGGGACAAACAAGAACTGGAGCAGAGGCTCGGCCAGCGAGTCGAGTTCTCCAAGCGCGCCATCGGCAAACTGCTGCAAGCCTTCGACAGGCTCCTTCAGAGAAATGAGAAACTCAACAAGGCAATTCAGGATAAAGTTGAAGCTGAAGCTAAGGCCCATGAAATATCGAAACCTGTCCCCAAAGAAATTTCAGAGGTCAAGATTGAACCAGAGGTCATTGAAATTAAGAAAGAGATACCCGATCCTGTCAAAGTGGAAGGATCAGAGGTCAAGACGGAAGCTGAGCAAGGAGCCGGTATGATAGTTTCTTTGCTGATTTCATTTTTATAACAATTTTGTATTTTGGAAGTAAGTTCTTAACAGTCAGGTAAATTTTGACATAATATCAAATATATCTTGGACTTAAAATGTGATTCTTTTGAGAGCAATACTTTTTAAAATTTGGTTTTGCTGTTATATACATACATGTACCATATATAATAAGATATATAAATAAAAATCTGAATTCCTGGTACCAACTGAAAATGCACTGTAAACGAGTTCAACAATGCAGGTAAAAAATATAAGTTCATGTTGGAAGCATGAAGATAAGCTTTCAAATCGTCTACATCATAGCAAAAAAAAGATTCATGCAAGGAGGTCAGATTTGAGATAATTAAAACTACTACGAATGTTTTTTTTCCGTGCTGGGATTTGACAACTGTGCATATGCTCCTGTAGGTGATGGATCATCAGCCAGTGTAAAGGAAGATGGGGAAGAGGAGGATGTTAAACCAGAGACCACGGAGGTGAAGGAGGAGGCCAAGGTAGAGGTGAAGGAGGAGCCTATGGAGGAAGTGAAAGAGGAAGTGCCCGAGGAAGAGGACGTCTTATCTCTCCGCGACGTGGTGCAGAACGAACTGGTGGTCCTACAGCAGGAAAACAAACAGATCCACAACATGGTCACTCAACTCCACTCCCGTCACCATGAACACACACTCAAGGTCAGAGTTCACTGTTACTAATTATAGAACACATAGATTAAACATGGTCACTCAACTCTACTCCCGTCACCATGAACACACGCTCAAGGTCAGAGTTCACTGTTACTAATTATAGAATACATAGATCAAACATGGTCACTCAACTCTACTCCCGTCACCATGAACACACACTTAAGGTCAGAGTTTACTGTTACTAATTATAGAATACATCCCCAACATTGGTCACACACCTCCATTCCTGTCAACATGAACACATGCTTAAGGTCAGAGTTCATTGTTACTAATTATAGAATACATAGATCAAACATGGTCAATCAACTCCACTCCTGTCACCATGAACACACGCTTAAGGTTAGAGTTGACTGTTACTAATTATAGAATACATAGATCAAACATGGTCACTCAACTCCACTCCCGTCACCATGAACACACGCTTAAGGTCAAAGTTCATTGTTACTAATTATAGAATACATAGATCAAACATGGTCACTCAACTCTACTTTCGTCACCACAAACCCAAGCTTAAGGTCAGAGTTCACTGTTACTAATTATAGAATACATAGATCAAACATGGTCAATCAACTTTACTTTTGTCACCATAAACACAAGCTTAAGGTCAGAGTTCACTGTTACTAATTATAGAATACATAGATCAAACATGGTCTCTCAACTCCACTCCTGTCACCATGAACACACGCTTAAGGTCAGAGTTCATTGTTACTAATTATAGAATACATCCCCAATATAGTCACACTCCTCCACTTCTGTCACCACGAACACACACTTAAGGCCAGAGTTTACTGTTACTAATTATAGAATACTTCTCCAACATGGTCACACACCTCCATTCTTGTCAACATGAACACATGCTTCAGGTCAGAGTTCACTGTTACTAATTATTTCCTGTCAACATGAACACATGCTTAAGGTCAGAGTTCACTGTTACTAATTATAGAATACTTCTCAAACATGGTCACACACCTCCATTCCTATCAACATGAACACATGCTTAAGGTCAGAGTTAAAAGTTAATTAAAATATAGGATACATTGTTGAGTCATTTTGTGCTACACAATATAATTATCTCCCCTTAACCCAGCCACAACAGTACAAAGTTTTGCCTCAATAAAAATATTTCCCGCTTTTTTACAAACTGAAACTCGCAGGTTAACTTGGTTAATACAGACAGTGACTATTTGTAGAAAAACACTCTGTTTACACAGTGACTTTCTTTTTCTAAACATTTACTGTACCGAAACGAAATTATTCCATTTACACACGTGAATGCAACAGCCTTTATCATCGTCTTTACAACAAAATGTTCCCCATAACATGAAGACCTCAGTATCATCAACATTTGTATAAGTCCCCTCAGTTCTAATTCTGTATTCTAACATGAAGATATAACAAAATTGAAAACAGTTGGTGATTCTGAGGTCTGGGTCGAATTCAAAAGTAAAGAAAACATTTGCTTTACTTTTTCATTTACTTGTTAATTAATATAGGTGTCAGAGCTACAGGACAAGCTGACAGCAGCAGAGACAGAAATAGCTGAGCTGAAAAATAAGGTGGATGACCTGGAGTACAACTTTGAGAAGGCAGACTCTCGGGCCGAAAAGCTGGATCGACACTTGGCGGATGCCTGCCAGAAACTTCAGGGCTACCAGGATACCAACATGATCATACCCGTGGAGGGTGGCAAAAGCATCACAGGGGTTTCAAAAAATAAGGTACATTATCCTAAACACTGTCTCTTCCCTAACCTCATACTAAACCTCATCATCCTGAGCGTACTTGATCCCTATCCCCACATAATTACTACCCTTGTACCATCCTTTTTTATATCACAACAACCCATACACAAGGTCGCATTCGCGTATCCCGGTTGAAAAGGTTCAGGTGGTGCAGAAATAGTCCACGATAAACAAACGCGCTTGGACCGAACTGTAGGCAGAGTCTAAAAATGCAGTTTCAGAGAATAAATGATAATATTTCAAGAATAATATGTTCTTCTTTTTATGCGTCCCCTAAATTATTATATAACGTATCTTAAAATCTACATGTGGATTGAGCTTGTTTTACAAGGAAATAATGCAAACTAGCAATAGTCAGAATGTTGGTTGTCGGTCAGGCATGTCTCGACTCCTTGATCTTCTCATGCCAAATATACCTGCGGTCAGCCTCGGTTCAGATCTGTGCCTGTCATTTTCTTTCAGGTTCAACCGTTTTTACTGGTTGAACTGGATACACAAAAGGGGCCCTAATTTTTCCCTAAACTGTTAAGCACGATTCCTAATCTCTCACATTCTTGAATTTAAGACCTTCCATACTAATTAACAATTCCTATTGCATTGTCACTCCATTTCACCATCATACCAGCCCTATTTTCACACCATCCCTAACCTTATATCCCTATACTTGCACCACCCCTACAGTCACACCATCCCTATACCCAAACCCTCACTAATCCCTTAAAGAATTAAATTTGTTGTGGTCAAATTTTGCAGTTTATGTATATGGTCAAATTCATTGGTATTATATTTTGTTGAATATGTATTTTTAAAACAAAATACTTACATGTTTTAAATCTGGTTTATTAATAAGTTTCAATTGTCAAACAAACCATCCCTACTCTCTCATCATCCTGTTTCTCACCATCCCTACTCACTCACAATCCCTACACTCTCACCATCCCTGCTCCAGCACCATCCCTACTCACTCACTATCCCTACTCACTCACAATCCCTACTCTCTCACCATCCTGTCTCTCTCTCCATCCTGTCTCTCTCTCTCTCCATCCCTACTCACTCACCATCCCTACTCTCTCGCCATCCCTACTTATTCACCATCCCTACTCACTCACAATCCCTACTCTCTCACCATACGTACAATCTCATCCTTACTAACTCACAATCTCACCATACCTATTCACTCACCATCCCATCTCTCTCCATCCCTACTCTCTCATCCTTACTCACTCACAATCTCACCATACCTATTCACTCACCATCCCATCTCTCTCTCTCCATACCTACTCTCTCACCATCCCTACTCACTCACCATCCCTACTCACCATCCCTACTCACTCACAATCTCACCATCCTTATGCACTCCCCATCTCACCATACCTATTCACTCCCCATCCCGTCTCTCACCATCCCTACTCTCTCACCGCCCCTACCCTCTCACCACACCTACTCACTCACCATCTCTCTTTCCATCCCTACCTGGTTTTATCACTGCCTTGACATTGTATTGTTTGTCTCTCTAGTTTGATGAGATTATACAAGATCTGGAGGAACAGCGGGAGCTTGCCACCAACAGGATGACAGAGCTCGAGAAACTCAGCAAAGAACATCAAGAGGCTCTCACGGAAATTGAGAGACTAAAAATGGATGTAAGTTACAAATTCCATCTTCATAGAAGGAGAGTTTGGGTTATTAATTGCTGCATAAGCATATTTTTAAATATTTTGTTTATTATTTCACTACTTTGTTCATTATAATGTTAAGCCAATTCTCCATCATAAAAATATTTTTTTTAGCAGATTCTTCTTTTATGATACCAACCGGAAAACCCATAATTAACATACCTGCAGGTTCAGGGAAAAAGTATAACCAGCTCGGCAATGTAATTGATTAAATTACAAATTACATTGCAAAAATTGTGTATTTTTTTATACCAAAGTTTGCCTTGAGTTAGATGGCTGTGAATTACGCACCTTGTTAGAAATCGTACCGTTGCCCATTATGTGGGACATTGAAGATTTATTATACAGTTATAAAAGAGAGTGGGAGTACTTCTGTAACTAAGTATATCTTGTTCCCACACAGCTACAACACCTGCCCGAGAGTGTGATCGTGGAGACGACCGAGTACAAATGTCTACAGTCCCAGTACTCGGTCCTCTACAATGATAACATGCAGTTCCGTACTCAGATTGAAGAGTCAAGTAGTCGACTACAGAATAGTAAAAACACCCACCTCCGACACCTGGAACAGATGGAGGCAAGTACTGTTGTAACACTGTCTATAAATTACTAAAGCATATCAAAATTACTTTCTTTTTCTTTTTACAATAATGACACTTTCACTTACATTAATCACTTCTGTGAAAATATTGAACCATTTTAATCAATGTGTGGAACTTAAATAGAAAAGTAAAACTTTTGAAATGGTCTCTCCAGAGTGACGAGCTGGGAGGGCAGAAGAAGCTGAGGGGCGAGTGTATACAGTTGGAGGACGCTCTAGCACAAGTCAGGAAGGAGTACGAAATGCTGAGGATCGAGTTTGAACAGACCCTGGCACAGAATGAACAGACAGGTGATTTACTTGAAACAGTTCATCTGATTGGATGATGAATTGATGGAACCTATCTATTATCATCAACTCAGCAAAGTTGAAACCATTGATGCTTCATAGACTATATACTTACATTAGTAACCCTTCATCCCTAGGTAACTTTAGTAGACTCTACCATACATTGATCTGGATGAGTCCAGTATGGTCTACAGTGGTAATAGGGAAAAGCATCAATAATGCAGCTGGGGTTGCTCTACTGAATACAGGTTGCAGATGCAAAGTCCTACTTTTTGCACTTCAGCGACTTGATCGTTTTTATGCATGCATGTGACAAGTGATGCGTATGTTAAGAAGATTGAGTGTTATAGCCCAGCCCACAGCTGTTTTTACCTGGCTACTTCCATTCCAATGAGAGCATTATTATCGGTCTATTTTCCACATCAAAGTGAATGCATGTGCACTTACAGTGAACTATAAACATTTGACAAATAACAGTATTTTCAGTATGAACATCTCATTAACATTTGAGAAGCGAGCAGGGTTTATCGATGACTGTGTCTTCTTGTTCTATGTGTGGATTGAATTTTTAGACTGTGTCATAATTTGAAGTTTCAAGTGTGTTCCCATGCAAGGTTTATAAGTATTTTCTCACCAGTGTAAATGACATACTTTTATTTATTTCCTGTTATTGTAGGACCAATAAACCACGAGATGAGGAACTTGATCCAAAGTTTACAAAAACACAATCAGCAGCTGAAGTCGGAGTCGGGCAGGTACCGACGTCGGGCAAAGGAGGCGCAGGCTGAATGTGCCAAGGTAGGCAACTCTGCAGAGCACGTACCTTGTTGTATAAAACACCTGAAAGGTTAAACAAAATTCAAAAACAAAATTCAGATTTGAGATATGATTTCAACTATTGAGTTGTATTGGTCCCCGGTCAGTAGTAATGCTTTAAATACAACTTAATACTTTAAATTCAAAATGCAACTTTGTTTAGAAAAGGAGGAAGCACAAATTGTTCAAAATGATATTATGACTACATTTTTTTTTCTTTTTATAAATAATTAGTTTTTCTTGCAGGTTTTGTTTGCAATATGACAGAGATAAAATATCTCTTACCTTTTCAGCTGAAAGCAGAACTTGCTGCTAATGAACAAAAACCTAGTAACAACGGAACGGGGGAAAATGCAGCGGCAACTGGAGCTCACAATAACTCTGGTTCACAGGGAGCAGAAACGGTCCCAGCAAAGGACCAGGTTCCTTCACCTCCAACTCCAACATCCAGCAATAAGTCAGAACCGCTCGACCAACCAGCTTGTTTATTATCCAAAGAAGAGGACAAGGATGACCTGGAGTACAGGGAGAAAGGCAAGACTGACATTGAGATCATTAAAGATTTACGGTCGCAGCTGAAGCAGGCTCAGGCCAGTCAGAAGGAGCTGAAGCTTTTACTGGACATGTACAAGTCTGCTCCCAAGGAACAACGGGACAAAGTACAGGTGAGTGGGTCATAATTAATTTGTGATATTCAAAAAAACATCACAGAGGTATTAAATCAGTAAAGTAAATTATTTGGCAAAGAGTCCAATGTTTTTCTACCCAAATTTTACAACAGCGTGTTCCAATAAGAATTTGGAAAACATATTTTTTTTATTGAAAGTGGGAAGATTTTTTTGTTTATTTTAGGAAAATAACACTTTTTTATAGGGGAAACAGCCTGTATTTGGCTATAAAAACTAAGCAAAATGTATCTGACACCAAAGAAATACCTAGTTTCTGTTCCCTTCTTATAAACTTGTATCATAAACATGCCAAATGAACGCCAAATAATCAAAAAATCATTGTAAACAAGGCAGTGTTTAGAATCCGTTTTCACGCCGTATTAATATCGCCCTTTACATATTGTTGCTAAGTATAGTATGCTGAGTAATAACTTTCACTAGCGTGATAAATACGCCTTCATTACAAAGGGCGAAAAAAGTGAAAGTTAAATAGCAGCAAAAAAATCCTGGTATACAGTTATTCATTGCCCACCATTTCAAGAGTTTTGATATTCAAAACTGCAAAAACAATAACAAAAAGTAGGTAGAACAAGTTAACTATATAATATTCCTAAGTTTATATTTATTTGATTGAAGAAAACTAAATATAATTTAATCTGATACCATGTGGGTTCTGTTTAATATTTCTGTGCTAAATATACCGAAGTTTCTATTTTAAATCTGACATCTAGCTCAGAAGATAAATGCAAAGTTTGTGTCACTCGCTCGGAATAGTTCAGAAGACGTTGTTTAATTAAACATGTTTCACTGTAGATAATACAAAAATTAGATTTTTTTCATATGAAAATAAGCACAAATCATTTCCCTCCCTTCTGCAGCTTATGGCCAGTGAAAAGAAAGCAAGACAGGAAATAGAGGAACTTAAAACACATATTAAGAAAATGCAGGAAACGGAGCGCAAAGAGAGGAGGAAGCTGGCCGAGGAGGATGCCATCAGAAAGATAAAGAAGATGGAAGAAACGATAACGGAGCTACAGAAGAATTTAACGAGTCAGAAACAGAAAGAGGAGGCTTTACTGGACGAGATGGAGGTGACTGGCCAGGCCTTCGAGGACATGCAGGAACAGAACACGCGTCTACTACAGCAACTCAAGGAGAAGGACGACGCCAACTTCAAACTTATGTCAGAGGTAGGTGGCATCAGTAAAACTTCATTAACATTTAACATACTGTATACCTGAAAGTGTTTGCCCTGTCAAACTTTCGTCCTTCGCCATGAAATATATTTTTTGTCCGGTGTTAATTTCGCCTTTCACTTTTAATCATTATGTTTATTTTGCTGTTTACTTGTATTCAATGTAATGATAAATCCACCCTCATAACAGTGGGTGAAAAAAGCGAAAATTAAATGGCAGCAAAAAGTTCCCGTGCAACAGTAATCCAACCAAAATCAGAGCATATTATGATGGCGTGTCTTTTTGTTTAAATAACCTTGTGACTGCAACTAGTCCCAGTTTTCAGCCAAATCTTTTGAGGTTACATGTTTGCAATGAGAATTGTATAAGATTTGGAGATCGTAAAATGGGAAGGCAGTGTTAAATTCATGATAGTTCAAGCCTTTTCTTACTCCTCCAACACGACAAAATCTGATAAAGGTATTATCAAAGGAAGCTCATCCCCATAACTCTTCGTAAACAAATACCAAGAAACAGAAGAACCTTGTCTTATTCCCATTTTCCATTTTAACACATCCAAGAATCAATTCAACTTAAGATTAATAAATATTAATGTTTAATTGTAACTTTTCAATAAATTGTGATAACATTTTGTTATAAGAATGCATCAGGAGGGCTCTAACTGTGTTACTGTGCTCTGTATTAGATGGAAAACAGGTATACTTGTGGCTGCAACATACAGCTCAGATGAACTCTACATGACGTATAATTTGAATAAATGACATGGCTTGTCTATTTCAGCGAATCAAATCAAACCAGATCCAGAAATTACTACGTGAGGAGAAAGAGGTACTGGCAGACCAGGTGAATACGATTCACTCCCAGGTTGAGGCTCAAAATATTGTGGTCAGGAAACTTGAGGAGAAGGAGCAGATATTGCAGAATACACTGTCTACTATAGAAAAGGAACTTGGGTCAGTTAAATACTGTCAGAACAGAACTCATTTTCTCCCACACATAAATGGTGCATTCCTTTTTTTGCTAGGAAAAAGATCATATAATCCCCCCTCCCTCTCCCCATTTGGGTAAGACATACAAATCTCAACCAAAGGGGTAAGATTAGTACATGTCTAGCCCAAAGCTTTGTTGAGGGCCAGACATTTAAGAGATTTTCCTGTCTTACTCCTAAAGTGGGGAATTTTTCTCCCACACCAAATGCAAGTGGTAATTTCATGAAATGCAAACTTTGATATCATTTCCAGCAAATCAGAGTTATCTTCCATGATCTGCCAATGTTGACGTAACTCCATTGCATTGTTGACAAATGTGTTACAATTGTTATGACAGGGAAATCCCCACGTCTTTACCCTAGGGTAAGACAGAGATTTCTCCCACCCTTCACTGGTGTGTCTCCCAATAATCATTCCGTGAATGAAGATATGCATACATACATACAACCAAAAAAATCACCCGAGGGTTGGAGATTTCTGTTATACCCTCAAGGTAGGGGAAGATTCTATTAATCTTTCCCTGACTAGAAGTGTGGATATCACTGTCTAATGGGGGAGAAAAAACCTGTCTTTATATGCCTTGGAAAAGACATCTCAAACAGCCTATTGTTATGTCACTGTTGCATCATCACAATATGCAGATTAATCAGGTTAGGTTGAAATTTCTGCCTGCATCACACAGGAGTGATATATTCTATTATTTGCTTATCCAAGGAGGTTAATCCATGATTAAGGGGTTTGGAGAGGGGGGTGGGGGGGAGACAAGATGAGCATATCTCAAATCTCGGATAAGATTCTCGTATCAATGTCAAACTTACCAAAAGAGTGAATGAATCTGCTTGTCCCTAAAATATGATGTCACAATGCAAATTTGCACGTGGTGTAAAATTTTAAAAAAATATCTTGTCTGCCAAGTGATGAAACCTAAAGCTTTATCAGTTTTAGAGAAGAGCAGTATAGCTTCATTTTTCCTATAATTTAGTGATATGTTTGCTTCTTTACAGTCTGACTCAGCAAGCCATGGAAATGCACAAGCGTAAGGCAGTGGAGAGCTCTCAGACAGCCGCTGATCTCAAGCTCCACCTGGACAAGTACCAGGCCCAGCTGAAGGAGGCGACGGTGCTGGTGGCAGAGAAAACTGGGGCCTTGGAACAGGAGGCCTACAAACACAAGAGGATGCAGGTAATGGGAGTCATACTTAAGGACCGCTGTTCCACTGTGTCTTTTCCTATATACAGTTACCTCCCCTTCACTTCTTTTTCGATATAACTGTAAGACAGTTTGTGCAAGATATTTCCGATGACCAGGTAGCTCAATGGGTTAGAGCCATAGTATATCAATCTGAAGTTTGGGGTTCAAATCCTGTGCTAGCACCTATGATTGTTTTATTTTTTTTTCATCTTTAATATTTCTCATAAAAGTCCTGTCTTGGAATAGCCAAACGTCACCAAAATGTTTGCTCCTAATGGGTGTCTCATGTTAATCGAGACGGAAGGAGAAAGTTCAAAATGACGCTGATCCATTTGCGTTCATACGTCTATGAACACAGTTTCTTATTGTAATGCTTATAGAGGAACTTGCATTGGAAAGGTAAATATAAAGGACTAACAGCGCAAAAAGCTTTGCTGTCGTGTAATACTTATTTCTCTGTCAAGAATCACCTCTCCACATGAATGGCATCTTAGATAATTATAACAAACAATTGTTCACCCTTCTTCTCAAGTATCAAAATTGCAATATGCATGTATATTAAATTCCTTATGTCAACTGCATACAGATGAAACTACCCCCAGGGGCTGGCCTAAAATAAACAACACCTTAATTACCTAAAGGCATTTTTTTAGAGGAAATCAAAGGCCTTTTCATCTCGCACATTTTGTTTCAAACACTGTGAAACACCTTAGACTTGCAGCTGGCCTAGGCTGGTCACCTGTAGTCACTTGTTATTAGTGATTTGCTTTCCAACTGTAGCAATTTGTTTATAGTATATATTTGTTTTCTCGGACTACACAACTGCTTCTCTTTACAGGAAGAAATAGCTAAACTGCAGAGGAAGCTGGAACGAACGAAGAAGATAGAGATGGCTGGGGCTGCTGATGAGGTTCTCATGGCAGAAATAGCAGAGTATAAGGTAGGTCCAGGTAGGGTGTTTAAGTTAAGGTGAACACTATACATATAATAAACTTATTTATTTCACAACAATTGTGAAACTGTTTATTTCAACTTATATTTATCATTTATTGTTGGCCCTGATGTTAGCGTGCAATCTAAATGTGGGAGGAAACCGTAGTACCTGGAGAAAACCCACATGGTCGGGCAGGTGACCCCGTACCTTAAGCTAAACACACAGTACAGGGTTAGGTAGTGTTTAGCATTTGACTTGGTTTGTGTTTCACGTCCTATTGACAGCTATCGTCATTTAAGAACGAGCCAACTTTTAGTGGTGGGGAAAACCAGTGTACTGGACATTACCTGGCAAATGCCCCGCATAGGCCTTGAACCCGCAACTGAACGTCGGAGGGCTAGTGGTCATAGACAGTCAGACACCTTAACCACTCAGCCACCGTAGCCCCATGTTGAGCATACTGTAGGTCTAGATAACATTGGGTATATGGTATAAATGGAATATAAAGTATGATATAAAAAAGATATCTTTGATAGTACTAAATAGTGTATATGATGGTTTACACTGTGAATATCATCCCACATCAATGGGGCCAACACATATTATCTCGCTTAAAGTAAGGGGATGGGCATTTTTCCATTTCTACTTAACTGCAATAAATTTTGGGTGGGCTTATTACCAGGCATGGGCTTATTGGTGGATAAGTATGATGGGGTAGATACGGTATATAGAGTTTATATGGAATACATGGTGGTCATAGATATGAAAAATACATAAGGTTTATACATATAAATATCTGAAGGATGTCTACCTGGTGGGTCTAAATTAGGAGTGTTCATGAATTGTATCTTATGAAAATCACCTAATTCCTATATTCCTTCCTCTTGTAGAGTGTCCGAGAAATAAGCATTGTACTGTTTTGTATTTCAGGAACAGCTAACGTGTCCCTCATGCAAGGTGAACCGGAAGGATGCGGTGTTGACCAAGTGTTTCCATGTGTTCTGTCTAGAATGTCTCAAGACGCGGTACGAGACGCGCCAGCGGAAGTGTCCCAAGTGTAATGCAGGCTTCGGTGCAAATGACTATCACAGACTTTACCTTGCATAGCACCAACCAGTTGGCATAGAATCTATAGTTCTGATCCAGCGTAGTATCTAGTGAGGCCATCTATAAGGAGGGGCTATCTGCCCCAGGTGTAACACTGCATGGATAGGGGCAGTCTGGTACAAGTGAAGTGAGGCATGCAAAGTTGTGTTTATTTAAGCGGCAGCTAGCAGTTCAGCTGAAATTAAGAAGGGCATGCATGTAATATGTGATTGAGGGTCAGTCTCACTCCAGTGACACAGGGCACCTTTGTGTGATAGAGTGGTTAAATGAAGTAATGCATACATATATAGTGTGTGTTTTAAAGGGAGGTTGGCTCAAGTAATGTGGAACTGTTTTTGATTGACTCAGTGAAAGTCGGGTTGACTCAGGTGAGGTAATTCCTCGGAACTCACAGGGGTTTCACTTACTCACACTCTCTTCACCCCTGAAATTTGTCATGGCAAATTGAAGCAGCTACCTATTTGATTGGTCTCAGGTGAAAAACACTGACCAATCACAATACTGATACATGTCCTTTGAAGATAACTGGGGGGCAAAAGTTAATTTCAAAACTGGTCAATTTTACCATTTCACAGTTGCTGGATTTTTTTTTTATTTACCTCAAAATATAAAACAAGTCTTGCATTCTTAGCTTTCAATTTTGTCATGACATATTCCAGTGGTGCAGAGAGCATAATCCCTGCAGTATCAAAAATGAGGTGAGGAGAAACATGCATACTGTGTGTGATTGAGGGACGAGCTGGCTCGTGTCACATGGGTTTACATACAGTGTGAAATGCACAGGCAGACAGGCTAAAAGAATGAGGGGCACTCTAGATCAAGTACAGCACTCAGCATTCTTTATGAATGCCACAGCTAGGTGATTCCATTTCTGTTTACCTTTCTCAAAGTGAACAATTTGTGCAAAATGCATCTTTCAATAATACAATGCTCATATTCCAGTGAGAAATCATAATTCCTTAACAAATATTTACATCGTTGAAGAAATACACCAGCTAGCCATTATTGAAATAAATATGAAATTGTCTTTGCAACATTCGAGAACCTAGCCTATATTAATAAAGGCCTTTCCTATTTTAAAAGTGCATGTGGGCCTCTATCACTCAAAAGTGAAGCATTTGTTATTGACAGAGGAAATCTCAAAATTACTGTTCCAGCTTTTGTTCTGAGAAAATCGTAAATGTTCCATACACCCTCTTTTAAATAAGTTGGTAGCATGTACACTGATGCTTCAAATGATTCAGGTAATTTATTTATAACTACTACATCATAAGGTGGTAGTGAAGGTCTCAGGCCATCCTCACAAACTTTGAAAGTTCAATTGCTTGTGTTTTGATAGAGTGGAAGGAATGGATTTTTATGTATAGTAATTTAAGTAAAGCTTTGCACGACTGATCTGGAGCCCATAAGTAGGATTACCTGATCATACGAGAAAGTACTATAAGCAATGTACATGTTATCCCAATGTTTTTCAAAAACGTTAAATCTGTAAATTAAAGTTATTAATGTATATTTAATGGATTGCTAACCTTGTATCGATTGGCTATCATTTTGAAATTAAATGACGCAAAACAAATTGAGGCTGATAAAAGGATGCAACTCTTGTTATATCGGGTACTTAAATTTGAAATATGAGTAGGTAATATGGTGCATATTCATATTCATATTAATATTAATCTATACCGTCTTGGCCAATCCAGTTTTTTTATAGAAAAATAAATGTTTAGATGGAATAAAACCTGCTCGTGAAACTTATTTTAACGGATATGAGTAATTTTCAACACTTTTCACCATTTTCAAGATTTTTGAATGGTATATTTTTGCCATTGGAATCATTTATTGTCATAAGTGTCATAAATATTTTATTATTATGAAATGGAACAATACACAACAGCAATGATGATCTGGCATACGCGTCATTGTTGTCGTCTACTTCAGTCAATTAGGACTCTGATTCGGTGCCTCTTGTTAGTTTTTCTAGAGGTTCTGAATCAAGAAAACATGACCAGTGAAAATTCATGAGAGGGAAACATTATGTTTTATTTCCCTGTCATATGATCAAATGTGATCCAGTCAGCCTTACTGTTATGGATAAGGTATACATAATTATATCTTGCAAAATAGAAGTGATTTACAAAAATTGTTACCGGTAGGTCAAACGTATGGTAGAGTTGACATGTCGTTAACATATGTATGGTCCTGTTGATTTACATAAAAAGTTGACATGTCAGATAAAATGTACACATGTACGGTACAGAAAGCCTGTGTTTAGATCTGTGACTGTGGGTGTTTGTGCAAGGCTGAAATTCATATCATATGTAAATATAACATATATACCATTTCACTCTATGTTTAAATACATACTTCATCATTAACTTGTATGTGTTGTGCTATTAAGGATGTGACCGAGAAGAGTATAAGATTGTGAATGAAATTACCAGTCAAATGGTATATGTGTGTATGTATCATTATTTCGTTTGATTGTCATTAATATTTGATGAATGGATTCTAACAATAAATGTTATGTAACATGAAACAAATTTTGAACTTAAGACTTGTCTGTATGGATAACTACGGACCACCAGAACAGGTCAGATTTATTTTGAAACAATGTAACAATAATCATTTACTATATCAATTATTTTAAACATAACAGTTGTAATACAATCAATATAAATCACATATTGTAATAATGAAACGTCAATAACAATTAGTAAATAAGGTAAAACTTGGTATAAACATGTAAGAGATAATGTGGAGCTAAGCAACACAGCCAAACGTTTCCCTTTAGCATCATCACATAGACGGGGAGTTAGGTCCTGACTTGTAAGTTGTATACTAAGTACATCCAATTTTCATGAGTTAGACTGGAGATGGCAATATGTTCAATTTCGTCATTATAAAACTATAATCATTATGTACCGAGTGCGACGGTGTAAAAAAAATCTTGAGTAATATCAGTATCGTGAACTCCAGATACACTCTAGACTAATCAAACGTGTCTAATATACCATACAGATGAAAATGTAAATGCATAGCTAACCGTTGTATTTTGTACAATATAGCTCTGGAGTTCTATCCAACTACTGAAATAGCTACCGGTAATTTATTTTGAAAACAAAAGAATTTCTATTCTGTACAATAGAGAGATCTTCTGTTAACCAAAGTATTTATCTTGCAATTTTTATTTTGTACAATAAAAAAAAAAGACTAAGTATCATCTGTAAGTTATTGAAGTACTTCTCCTGTCATTCCTATTGTGTACAATACCAGAGATTATCTCCTCCTAGCAGCTTTTAAGTATTATCTTGATGTTCTTATGTCAGATAATGAAGAAAGACAAGTTTCTCATCGGTAAGCTATTAAAAATATATTTATCTAAAAGTGACGTTCTTATTAAATTACACAATTGAAAATGGTTCATCTCTTTATAATTAAAATAATTTATCTTCAAATTCAGTTATTTTACAAGTGCAATGTAAAAGATCGATCCTGTTCTAGTTAAACTGGACATTTCTATACTGTACAGTTCGGAGTCCTCTCCCAACTAAAACTGTATAAATCAATATAAAAAGAGATCTACCCTTCCTTGGCTAGACTTTTGCATTCAGTACAAATTACATAGTTATCTTTCTCAAATGTAGTCGTGTTACAACAAATTCCAATCATACAGATCAGAGTATTAATTTAGTGTTACAAATTTCCGAAACGACAATGTCACTTATAAGTTAGGTAACAAATATAGTTTATAAATTAGTTAAAACTAGATATTTTAGCACAGTTTTACAGATTCGGCATATTGCCTGCTGTTCAGTAGAATACATGACATTCGTCTCGGTTACCGGACTGAGAGCAAGCCATTGTCAAGCCTTAAGCAGTACACGGGGCATTGTCCTCCCTCACAGTTCATCGACAATCTTTGGTCGTTTCTTCCTCCTGCTGTCAAACAGTTGAACCCTCAGCTTGTACTTGCACGTCTTTGGTTGGTTGTCAATTTTGTTCTTCAGCATTTCCTTCATGGTTTCATACAAGGGGTGTGTACAGGGGGCCAGAGTTGAGACATCATATGATTGATTCCAAGTATCAACTACATCACTGATCTGACTAGAGCTTGCTCCTAAATCTGGGTCCTCCAGCAGCCGTGACCCTTCTGTTGGTGATGTGTTTGTGGTATAGGGCACATCCTGGTACTGGCTCAACAGTATGATTTCATGACCTTTCATGGGACTGCTGACAGAAAAGTTGTATGGGGAGAGAACAGCTCTAAACAGATTTAATTGAAGTGGTTGCTTTCTTGCATCTTTATCATGTAGATCCGATGAGATGTGGTCACCTTTGAAGATGACAAGCCGTTTTGAGGACAGTAGATACTGTCCTGGGCTGAACGCTTCTGACATGATGGCAAGGATTTTATCATTGTCAGAGATCAACAGAAACACAGGGTGCTCTACCTCGATTGTGTCCTGAGAGGCCAAGAAATGACCACCAGTGAAAAAAATGGCTGGATTACTGATTGTGTGTACTATCCTGCCTGCTTTATTGTGTGAAATGAGAACTGTTCTACAGAACTTTTGACAGGGTGTCAGAATTCTACATTTGGTCTCTTCCTTTTTTTTCTCTGTCTTTTTCTCTACAGGTTGTGACTTTGTTTTCTTTTTCTTTTCTTTTGAATTTGGATCGTTTGGATCGTTTGCCTTCTTGGGTTTTGATTTGGACTTTTTACCTTGTTCTGTAGACTTTTTACCTTGTGTTGTAGGCTTTTTATCCTTTGCTGTAGGCTTTTTATCAAGAGGGTTCTTTTTCTTTTCAACCTTGTTCTTAGCCTTCTTTGTCCCAGCCTCTTTAGTTGGTTGCTGCTTTGCCTTTTTTTCTTTTTTACATTCTTTGTTTTCCTTTGTACTTGAAATTTTGATGGAAGATTTTTTCTTTGAAAGTTTCCCTCCAGTATTAGAAGATGCTTTTTGTGCAACTTTACTGGGAGAAGTTCCATCAGGTTTCTGTTTTGTTGTCTGTTCTTTATCTGGAGAAGCAGAAAGAGCACTTGCATTCATGGTGTGTAAACGGTATTTCCCTGGAGGTAGTTTCATGGAACCCATTGGTTTGTAGACCATTTCGAATGAAGAAGATTTTTCCGGAGACAGAATAACATACTTGTCACTGCCACACATCTTCATTACAACAAATTTGGACGGTGAATTATTAGCCATCATTGTTTGTAGTAGTTCGGCACTGGGCAACTGTGGGCCATCTAAATTATCCTTGTGTTCTTTTTGCAAGCCTGACTTTTGCTGACATAGAAGAGATCCCGACATTACACCCTGTCCAAGTGATTTTGACTGTACCTGCTGACCAAGTGGTCCAGAGTGTGTGGTATTACTAGAAACCTTGCCCTGAAGTTTACCAGGAACTTGATCCTCTTGGTGTTTTGGACATTTGATTGTGCTAGTTTGGTCATGTTTAGTTTCGTGACCGTTTCTTATCCCAGTAACCTTGGTTACAATGACATCTTCAGACTCACTTACAGTCCCTGGAGATCTGCTACTACTGGTACACTTGACACTCTTAACCTCTGTTGCTGGTCCCATGTTTGGGAGACCTTGTTGGGAAGTTGTCAGATCATATACTGGAAAACCATTGTTGTTGTTTTGTCCACTATTTTTTTCCCGATTCTGCTCCAGCATTGCACCATTGTTTTGAAACTCGGAAGACATCACTTGAAATCTACTAGACTCCGACGTATTCAACATTTGGTTTTGAAGAATATTTGGATTAGAATACAGACTAAAGTCTGTGCCGTGTACAAACTGACTTTGGTGCCCATGTGTTGCCTCCCTTGGTGGAATAGGAGCCGTCAAAGCTTCTGATTGACTGTAAATTCCATTTATGCAAGTTGTAGTTATGTGTCCATGATCTGGAGCTACGTTCATTGCTGGACCCCACACATTTTGTGGTGAGCCGTGAGAGGGTGGTGGCCTTGTGCCTTGTATGAGGTTTTGATTCCTGGGAGCTACCTGTAGTCCCTGACATGCCTGGTCCACATTGGGAAGCTGTCTGGCCCTTGTCACCTCAGAAAGATGTGCAAGCTGTTCCTGACTGTATTCTTGGCAATCCCCAAAATGAGCAGCCTGCTTAATGCTGTTTGGTGACAGTATTTGTCCACTGTTGTTAAATGGCATTTGTCTGTTGGTGGTGAAGAGTTGCTCACTTTTATCAGGAAAAAGTTGTCTACTGCTAAATGAGGACACGACGTTGGTTCCGGCTGACACCGATTGTATTGCATCAGGAGAAAGTAATTGTTTGATATGTGGAGAAAGTAAAGGCATGTTCATATTGGATGTGGGCAACTGTCTGTTGCTAGGAGACGCAAGATGTTCCACATTTCTCGGACACAGCATTGGCATGTTTCTAGGAGATACAGGTAAACTATTGCCAGGTGATGACAGTTGTCCAATATTGACAGAAGAAAAAGACATTTTTCTTTTCTGCTACAATGCGACACAAGTTGTAAATGGACTAAACTGTGTAAAGTTTCTTTATACCTGGTGGAATTTCTCTTTCACCGAACAACACTTGACCTTGGGTTAATCACTCTGCCTTCCAACTGGAGGCTGCTTTAACTATAGTTCACCATGTCCTTTTAGATATATGTTATAGGGTTTGTGCTCCAAAACTGACCCACTGGGTTACTTCCTTTAGGCCTCTTTATTGAATAAAACCAGACTAGATGAAATTCAGGGAAGGTTTGTTTTTACTGCAATCATCTGGGCATTCCTGATTTCACTAAAGATATGCCTGAATTGAAAAGAAAAACATTGATTATTATTAATAATAATAGTACAGTATCTTATATCTTTGTTTTTTCACAATCTCTCACACTTGCCTTTGTCCTATCATAATTTCATTAAAAGTAAAGTAGAAATTAGAATCATTGCAATTTCCCAAAATAGTTAAATAAGTAACTTTACTTGTAAACTATTATCCATAATTTTTTTTTACTCTTTATCATGAATTATATTTGATGAAGATCAGTTTTGACATTTCAAAACTTGCTACACTATCGAGTCCTGTTCTGATCTTTTCATTATGTTGGTGTACATTTATCTACTATTCATACTTATTAAATTGTTTTGTGTATTGCATTTTTCTTACTTAATTATTATATTCATTCCACCTATCCTTGTTATTCTGTGAGTCTGATGAATATAATGATTATATGGCCAGTGAAGTGTCTTTAACGCTAATCTAAAAATAACAGATTTGCAGTTTACAATCATCATGTCACATGATATTGTTGAACTGTCGTAAGTTTAACCTACTATTTATGAGTCATTTTGGCCTACCATACAGATATTAGATAACAAGATATCACTCAGTGTTTTCTCAAGGTTTAGAAAAAATGAGAGTGTTGATGGTGGGTGGGACGCCTTCTGTAATCCCCCTCTGGAGAATTCAGATTTAGGCCCTTCCTCCAATAACCTTTGCGTCTCAAAATTATCCGAGAACTTTATATTCTAGACCTTTTCATCACAAAGGTTGTGACAAACGTGTGTTGTAAATAACAATTTAAACAAATTTATAAGCCTAGGCTAGTAATGAAAAAATACACACCTGTCTCCTCATGAAAGTCGTGAAATGACGTCCACATCTACGGAGTAATCTCACTGCGGAATATTGCACCATAGATCTTGAGTCTGTTCTGGCGGCTGAACCAAATATAACTTGTATGTAATTTCGTTTGTAGATCTATAAAATTAACGTGACTTAAAATACAACACATCTATTGAAAAATTGACAACAGCACTGCTTCGCTCCCTCATCATTCCGGAAATCATCACGCTGCAACGTCATTGTGACGTCATCTTAACACGACGGCAGGAAGATGGACTGGACATTTGGTCTGAAAACGAGACCAACATCTAGAATATACTCAGTGTCCTTTTTGTTACCTTAATTTTTTTAAATGACACATTTTATAGATAATAAAACATGCCTCCGTTATCCTACTTTTAAATTTTCCCCGCCAGTACGCTCTTTCAGAGTTATCGTTCCTGTCATATGGAACAGGGACGACCGGGTGGGGAGTCGGCGCAGGGGTGGGACATCTCTTTTACGTGTTCCAAACTATTTGATCGGTTCGACCAGAGTTGTTCATCTTTGAAATAGCATATATCAACATTTGCTTGTTGTTATATATATGTGAACCCTGAAAATATAAATTAAAAACTTTTCGGCTAGTTCATCGAGTTGCCTCCCTTCGGATGAACTCATTTTTGGCTTCAGATGGATCCAAATTTTGCCGTCATCATGTGACACGGGTTATCTACAGGTAGATCCACTCCTTGTTTATCTGTCTCGTCTACTGTTACAGGATGGCGCCGAATGTTGTCCGCTCCGCCATAAGTATCTTCTTTGAATATGACACGCCTAGAATCGTCCACATCAAGAGCAAGAAAGTTGGAGTGATAAACAGATTTCTCCAATTGGTCATCATAGGTTACATAATTGGGTAAGAGTCTACTAGTACGGCAAACCGAAAGTACATCCATTGATTGAGGTGAATGTCTTGTCTTCTCTTGTTCTGGTGTTTGTCGCGGGTAAAGCGTTAAAATGTAGTTACCTTTAAATTTCAATAAAAACTGATAACGTTTGACCGACACTGCAAACACTAAATACAGTCTTAATATTCCACCAGGTATGCCATTATTTTCAAGAAAGGGTATCAGAAGGTTGATACAATACAGAGCGCTGTGACTACCAAAGTTAAAGGTGTTGCATTTCTGAATGGATCAGAAGTGCCTAATATAGAGAGCTCTTTATGGGACGTGGCTGACTATGTGGTCCCTGCCCAGGTAAGTACTGTTTACCAGTTATATCAGTTCACCGGTCTGTATTAAGCTATAAGCTTCTGGACCTCCTTGATTTTTGTCTCCATGATCCGTGGAGCTCCTTAATTTCTTTTACTCAAGATTAATTTATATTCTTGATTTCATGTCCTATATGATGCACCTTATAAGTGCCTGCTGTATTCAACATTAATTTATGTACAATATATATATAGTTCCTGGGTGACTTAGCAGAAACTTGGGTTGAACTTTGCTTCAAGATCCTTCCAATGATTGTTCAAAGTAGATTTAAAGCCATTCAATGTGCCTGCGTTCACAATACTTCCTGGCAAGCTATTCCAGTCATCTATAACTCGGATAGAAAAGAAATGTTTCCTGATGTTCAGTCTTGCACCTTGTTTTCTAAGTTCTTATTGTGGCCCCTTGTTCTGGTCTCTTTTGATGGTTTTATCATTATCCGACCTTTTTGGCTATGTTAGTCATTAGCCTATATATTTGGATAATAACATCACATCATCCTTCTTATCAGGAAATAATTCTCTCGGTTAAATATTCACCCTTCTTTAATAAAATCCAGATCAGACAAGAATAAGCCACCCTGAAGCGCTTAAGTAAAATGTAAAGAATTCTTGAAATTATCTTCATTTGTTCCTACATCTGATCAGTATGTTGTGAAACAACAAAAGAATACCAGAATTCTTTACAGAAATAATCACTGGTGATGATTCACTCAGCTTGTCGTGCATACTGGCAGGAAGTTGTAAGCTTCAGATATTTAATCTAAATCCAAACTTGTCATGTAAAACTGTTTGACAACAGGATGTTATCTTAATCTATCGAAATATTCCCTCTCATTAACGACCAGATTTAGTATACACCAGTATGGGTGGGGCCAAATGACCACTTTCGAAAGCTTCTTTCTCATTGTAGAGTGATAAGTCATCACACTATGATAACAAAGTCCACATACTCCTTTACTTTTAATGATTTAAAGTGTCTTGTAACACAACCAATGAGAGTTTCTATGTGAAGTTCTGATGACTAGTACGATATGTACACTGTCACCTTCATATGACCAGTGAAGCGTATGCACACAAAGGTGTAAAATATGTACGAGTTGTCCACAAAATCGATGTCGATTCGGCTACGCTGACAAAGTCTTAAGCAAAGCGCAGCTGAATCGAGTCATTTTGGTACATATATTACAACGAGTGTACATTGTATTGATATTGCATTGATGTTAATGTCACCCTTTTAAAATACTAATTAGCCACTTCCTTAACTGTCTCGACTAGGGAGAATTTCTCTTTAAGTTCATTCCTTAGAGCATTAGACTAGTAAACCAGAGGTCCTGCATTCCACTCCTAGTGAAGGCATTGAAAACATAATGACCTCTGTTACATTAATTTCATCCTTCACAGGTAATTAAGTTACTTGATTTCTGGGTGCTGTGTTTTGGAATCACTCTCTTGATAATTCTGCCCTTATTACTGTAGTTGTATGTCCTGTAGTGGAGCGTAGGGGACATTAGGGCTGCAAAATTTTATCAACATGACAATATGATCCTATCACGAAACTGTGGTCAAGATACAATATGTATCATGATACATATAGTAACAGTAGAAGCAAAGCAAAAAATATATGTTGCAAATTTTAAGTGACAAAATTACAACAGGAAATAGACTTGGTACAAAATTGTATAAAGTTTCACACAATTCACGTCTTTCGACGTGCATGCCAAGCTGTAGCTGTCACTTGCCATGTGGAACGGATATGAATAGACTAAATTCAGAAACAACAAAATTTGGAAAATATCGTAGGTGTATCATGACATAAAAAAAATTGGTTATCGACTGTATTCAGAAAATTGCGATATGTCTTTGCTGCCCTAGTGGACATAAAACTTCAAAATGAATTTATTTGATACTGTATGTCTAGTAGTGATAAGCAATCGGTTTGAAATCATAATCAATCATCAGTTTGTAATAAGAAGTAGTAAACCAATTGCAAAATCAGTTAATTTTATGGGATTGCATACCCTAATAAAGTGAGTTCTTAACTATACATAAGGTTTCGTTTTTAAAATGAAACAATTTCATGCAACTTTTTTGCAGTTTTGAATAATTTTTCCTGCATTATCATCAATCGTATGATAAAAATCATAAGAATAAATGAATTTTAATGGATGCTGTACATTGCATACATTTGATACTTAAATTAAGTTCAGTAATGAAAAATATATCCATTATAGAATTTGTGAACGATAATCGGAATCGGAAAGGGCTATCTGATCAATTTTCTATTATAATCGATCATCAAACATCACTATTTGCTGAAGTTTTAACTTAAATTTAACAAAATCTCTTCCGTTCTCTGTATTAAATGAAAGTGGATTTCCATGTGGCAATTATTAGTACAACAAATGAATGTACCAGTCTTACTACTTCTGTGAAAAATAGGATTAACACTGGGCTAATATATTCACTACAGTTTAGCTCTTCCTCTTTTCTCCACGCGTTGCCTGAATTAACCAAGAGTCAAAAATTAGTATACATCACTCTGCATGTGAACACAGGAATTAACAGTATACAGTTATTCTGTAACTTGATTATTAAAAGAAAATTGTTATTTCCCCCCCCAAAAAAACTATTTTTGTGTGTTTGTTAACTTTATATGTGAGTTTGATTGTTTTGTTTAACAGAAAATGACCCATTTTCCACTTTTCATATTTGATGGTGGCCATGTATGTGTGAAAAGTAATGGAAATGGGGGGAGGGGGGCTTCTTGCCAGGCATGGGCTTATCTCTGAGTAGTAAAATAGGGTAAAATGATATTAAAAATCATACATTACTTCAACATTCTACGTAAAGTTGAACATTAGTTTTGCTCACTAAGTATATTACAAATTGCTATATATATATATAATGTATCAATTTATTTCATGAATTTATTACATGATTTTGGTTTTTATTTCAGGAGAACAATGCCTTGTTTGTGATCACAAACCTAATAGTGACTCCAAATCAGAGACAGGGTATATGTGGTGAGGTGAGTTGACTCCAAAACAGAACCGGGTATATGTGGTGAATTGATTCCAAATCAGAGACAGGGTATGTGTGGTGAGGTGAGTTGACTCTAAATCAGAGACAGGGTATGTGGTGAATTGACTCTAAATCAGAGACAGGTTATATGTGGTGTGTTGAGTTGACTCCAACTCGGAGACAGGATATATTTGGTGAGGTGAGTAAACTCCAACTCAGAGACTGGATATATGTGGTGAGGTGAGATGACTCAGAATCAGAGACAGGGTATGTGTGGTGAGGTGAGTTGACTCAGAATCAGAGACAGGGTATGTGTGGTGAGGTTAGTTGACTCTAAATCAGAGACAGGGTATGTGGTGAATTGACTCCAAATCAAAGACAGGGTATATGTGGTGTGGTGAATTGACTCCAAAACAAAGACAGGGTATATGTATTGAGTTGACTCCAAATCAGAGACAGGGTGTGTGGTGAATTGACTCCAAATCAAAGACAGGGTATATGTGGTGTGGTGAATTGACTCCAAAACAAAGACATGGTATATGTGGTGAGGTGACTCCAAATCAGAGACAGGGTATATTTGGTGAGGTGAGCAAACTCCAACTCAGAGACTGGATATATGTGGTGAGGTGAGTTGACTCAGAATCAGAGACAGGGTATGTGTGGTGAGGTGAGTTGACTCTAAATCAGAGACAGGGCGTATGTCGTGAGATGAGTCAATTGATTCAAACATTACCCAGCATAAAGAGAAGGATTGTTGTTCATAATTTCTTGCATAACCAATGTTTCCTCCTTCAGGACAAAAACATACCAGGAGCGAATTGTACAACTGATGCTACATGTGCCCTAATGACTGGAAAATCTCTTCCAACTGGTAACGGTAAGTGTTGACAGACTTCCTGTGATTTGATTCGGTGTGAATAAACATTTGTACGGTAGATGATGCTGACTAAATACTGTACAGCATTTATATTTTAAACTCATTCACCCCTGAAGACACATTTGAACACCCTCCAATTAAAAGGTTGGAAAAGTTCATTATGCAATTTCAGGGGTGAATGAGTTGAGGATCCCCATACCACTGCCACAGTGACAGTAACTGTGGACTGGAAACATTTTACAAGTTATGATAATATCTTAGATAAGCAATTTCTGGAAAGAACATACTCCTTGTAAGCAGTTTCTGAAAATAAATGTACCGTGTGAAACAATAAATATATGTGTTGTCTGCACTGCCAATTATGTTTCCTTGCTATCCCCATATTCATAGTACATTCTAAATGTCCAGTTAAAGCACTCAAATTGTGCTGTTATGTTTGAGTGAATATTTTAACAGAATTTTGTCATGGTGCTAAAAAAAAAAATACAATCAAAACAATTTTTTTTTCTTATTTTCAATTTTTTGAATTTATAGAATTTTGTCATGGTGCTAAATAATAAATACAATCAAAACGTGTTTTTTCTGATTTTCAATTTTTTGGGGTTGATAAGAAATTGCTTGGTTATTTCAGTATTGTTAGTGTAACCTGATACAATTTGGTATGATACACAAGAAAGTATCATGATACGATACAATTTGAACAATCATTTCAGCCCTATTTTGCCTGGGCAGGGGATAATTAATATGGGTTTTATTTTGCACTATATTCACGATTTGAAACATTTGTTTCAATGACTGTTGGTTTAGTCAATTAATTCTACACATTTGTTTGTCAGGTATACTGACGGGTGTCTGTAACACAACATCCAATACGTGTGAAGTACGTTCATGGTGTCCCATAGAAAATGGTGACACGAAGGTGTAAGTTTTAACCCTACACAGTCTGTATACCAGGACATTTTTCGCAAGTTAAACTTTCGACCTTTCCTGATAAAATCCATATTCCCCCGGTGTTAAATTTGCCTTTCACATTTAACTCATTCACCCCTGAAGACATATTTGAACTCCTCCAATTCAAAGGCTGGAATAATTCATTATGAAATTTCAGGGGTGAATGAGTTAATTATGTCCTATGTTTATTATGTTGTAAATTAATGTCCCATCATTGCGGAGGGCAAAAAAAGCAAAACGTATACTGTGGTGAACACTTTCCCATTGTACAGTATTTTAAACATGATATGAATCAGTTATAACCATTTTATCTCTTCTGTTTCAATACCAGTAGGATATTCCTTCTTTGCGTATTGCGGAGTTATCTTCTCTTGGGAGCAGGTATTGATTGATACGTCATTGGTTTGTGCGAGAAAAATTACGTCGTTTTCCCAAAAATTGATGACGTTACTCTCACAAACAAGTGAGGTAACAATCAATCCCTGCTCCCAAGAGAAGATAACTCTGCAATACGCAAAGACGGAATAGGTCATTAGATGTTGACTTCATTTGTTAGCTCACCTGGTCCGAAGGACCATGGTGAGCTTATGCCATACCGCAGCGTCCGTCCATCGTCCGTCCGTCCGTCAACTTTTCCTTTAAAACACTACTAGTCATGAACGACTGAGAAGATTTTGACCAAATTTGGTCAGAAGCATCCTTGGGGGAAGGGGAACAAATTTTGTATAAATGGTGGGTCTGGCCCCCCTGGGGGCTGAGGGGCGGGGCCCAATAGGGGAAATATAGCAAATTCTTTAAAATCCTTCTTCTTCTGTAGGAATAAAAGGATTTGTTCCATATTTGGCATGAATCCTTGGGTGAATGGGAACCAATTTTGTATAAACGGTGGGTCTTGCCCCCATGGGCCTGAGGGGTGGGGCCCAATAGGGGAAACATAGTAAATTCTTTAAAATCCTTCTTCTTCTGTAGGAATGAAAATATTTGGTCCATATTTGGTCTGAAGCATTCTTGGGTAAAGGGGAACCATTTTGTATAAACGGTGTGCCTGGCCCCCCTGGGGGCTGAGGGGCGTGGCCCAATAGGGGAAATATAACAAATTCTTTAAAATCCTTCTTTTTCTGTAGGAATGAAAGGATTTGTTCCATATTTGGCATGAAGCATCCTTGGGTGGAGGGAAACCAATTTTGTATAAACAGTGAGTCAGGCCCCCCTGGGCCTAAGGGGCAGGCAGGGCCCAATAGGGGAAACACAGCAAATTATTCTTTAAAATCCTTCTTCTTCTGTAGGAATGAAAGGATTTAGTCCATATTTGGTGTGGAGCATTCTAGGGTAAAGGGGAACACATTTTGTATAAACGGTGGGTCTTACCCCCCTGGGGGCTGAGGGGCGGGGCCTAATAGGGGAAACATAGCAAATTCTTCAAAATCCTTCTTCTTCTGTAGGAATGAAAGGATTTGGTCCATATTTGGTGTGGAGCATCCTTGGGTGAAGGTGATCCAATTTTGCATAAACTGTGGGTGTAGCCCCCCTGGGACCTGAGAGGTGGGGCCCGATAGGGGAAATATAGGTAAAACCTGTATAATCCTTCTTCTACCATAGGGAATAAAGGATTTTATCCTAATTTAGTCTGGAGCATCCTTGGGCAAAAGGGACTCAATTTCATATAAACAGCGAGTGTGGCTCCCCTGGGGTCAGAAGGGAGGATGGGCCCAATAGGGGAAACATAGCAAATTCTTCAAAATCCTTCATCTTCTGTAGGAATGACAGGATTTTGTCCAAATTTGGTATGAAGCATCCTTAGGTAAAAGGGAACAACTTTTGTATAAACGGTGTGTCTGATCCCCTGGAGGCAGAGAGGCGGGGCCCAATAGGGGTAATAGAGGTAAAACCTTTAAAATCGTTCTTCTACCATAGGGGTTAAGGGATTTTATCCTAATTTAGTCTGGAGCATCCTTGGGCAAAAGGGACTCAATTTTGTATAAGCAGTGGGTGTGGTCTCCAAGGGCGGGGCCCAAAGGGGAAATAGAGGTAAACCTTTAAAATCCTTCTTCTACCATAGGGATGAAGGGATTTCTTCCCAAGTTGGTCTGGAGGATCTTGGGCAAAATTAAGGGACTCAATTTTGTATAAACAGTGAGTGTGGCCCCCCTGGGGGGCAGAAGGGTGGGCCCGATAGTGGAAACATAGCAAATTCTTCAAATACCTTCTTCTGTACGAATGACTGGATTTTATCCTTATTTAGTCTGGAGCATCCTTGGGCCANGCCTCTTGTTTTTGTATTGTGTCTAAAAATTGTAATACTATAAAATATCCACTACAGACAGTAATTAACGGTTACTCTATTCAGGCAAGAAATTAGAAAAGTGTTGGAGCTTGGTACATGTTAGAAAGTCTATATTAACTGATTTGGTTGAAAATTAAAAAATAAAGGCTTGGCAAAGTCTCATTTCTGATTGGCATTCTCCCAGCCCTAGCCTCGGCATTAGGTAAAAAATGACAAAGCAAATACAACTACAAATATAGTGGATATGAAGGATACTGCAAAAGTTAACCAAGAGCTCCTTTGGAAAGATCAAGAAATAGTATCGTGGTATACTTAAGGTATACTTGAAAATTAAAGCAGTCGCATCAAGTTTGCTTAACTTTCGTTTGTGCCTAACTGTTGTCTGTGCGGTATTGTCAGTTGCCAACAGTGTTTTGCAGTAGATATTCTTGAAATTAGTTGATATGGTATTGCACTTTTTGAACTGAACTGTGGGAAGAAAAAATATTGGGATTTAACGTGTATCATTCTCTCATTTCCGTGTGCAAGATAGTGCTGTCCAGGGTGAGAAAGGAGTGTAAGAAATTTCTATCTTAAACCTCATTTCACGTGTCAGACGTCACGTCACAATAATTTGGAAAAGTCTGATGCCAAAATGTGGAAAAAGGAGACGTGATGAAATTAAAACCTTTTACGATATATTTACCATACACATTAGGAAGATGTGATCAATTTTTCTGCGCAAACATTGTTTGCAAATATGGGATATGCTTAATCTGGCTGGCTAATTTGTTTTTGTCTGAAAAGCTCAGGGGAAAATTGATATTTTCAAAATGGTGGCCAGTCCAACCGCATTTTCATGGTTTCTGATCTTATTCTGGTGGTTGGAATGAGAGAAAGATACTCTGTTATGCCCAAGGGTGTATGATAGGGAAATTCCACCCTTGGGATTTTCAAATTTGGCAAAACCCTCGACAAAGCCTCGAGTTTTACCAAATTTGAAAACCCCTCGGTCGGAATTTTCCTATCCTACACCCCTGTGTTAAGCAATAAATGGTTGATTGGACGTGCACATTATATGTTCAAATTGACTATGTTAGTTCTGTCTATCATAAACATGTTTTCATTCGTTTGTTTTCAGACCTAAGAATCCAGTACTTCTCCAGTCCAAAGATTTTACAGTTTTCATAAAAAACAACATTGAATTCCCATACTACAATATCAAAAGGTACGTATTACTAAAACCTTCTCAAACTTGTAGAAATATGGCAATATCTTGCATGTTACATATTGGAATTTTCTGTATATATTCTTGTTGACAAAAACAAATGGCCATATTTGTAATATAACGGAAAATGAAAACAGTCAGGGATTGAACTTCAGGTCAAAGGTCAATGTCATTCTGGATTTATGTATGATTTCATATATGTTCAGAAGGCAAACTTCATGCATAATGAAGAGATACACAGGATCTTGCTTTTGAGGTCTGAAGTTTAAGTGTCAAGACCTTTTGGCTTTTGAAAACCATAGTTCAGGGGTCAATGTCACATGGCTTTTGAGGTCAAAAGTTCAAGGGTCAAGATCACATTCATTTTAAATACTCTTTGCACATCACTGTAAGAAATGTGTCAGAAATGTTGGACCACCTAAAGCTGCGCCCTCTAGCAGATAGACGTAGAGATGCTCGTCTGACCATGCTTCATAACATTGTAAACCAGAAAGTCGCTATCGTAAAATCAGACAGATTAATCCCTACAGTTAGAAAATCCCGTACAAACCACCAGTTTTCGTATCAAATTCCCCACTCAAAAACACAGACCAGAAAGGCATCATTCTTCCCTCGAACTATCCCCGAGTGGAATAAACTCCCACCTGACATTATTTCGAGCCCCACAACGGAATTATTCAAATCAGCCCTCTACCGTCACTTTTCAAACGCAAATTAGACCATCTTGTATCGTTTAAAAACAATCTCTTTCCATGTTTCACTCCTCGTCTGACATTTTATCTTCAAATTGTTGAAGTTGGTCAGTACCATTTAGAATTAGAAGTAAGAAAGAATAAAATAGTTGTAAGTGGTATTGTTTCACATTAGATTACTTTGGACTTTCGGGGAATTCGGAAGTGATAAGCTTTCAATCAAAAACTTTTTTTACGACGATTACTTTCTTACAGTACCTGGTAATAACTTCTAAAATAAAGAGGGCTGGACTAGAATGACTAAATTCTCAATGGGCCATGAAGCATTTCGAATACATGATAAAACTTGCCAGATTTTACTATTATAAGATATAAAGCACTATGGTTAAATAATACTTAACTTGTTTTAATGTTACCTTTCTCAAACTCAAACTACCTTGTAGGGCTTTTATAACAAATAATACAGATGAAATTAAAAATAAATAAAAAAAAGTGTTCCGGGTGTTAAAACTCAGCGAGCTAGAGCAATATTAAAACCCTAGATTTAGGATTGTTATACTATCGCTCTTACCAACTGACCTACCGTTACCTGTCCTTTCTCAACTATGCTACTGTTATATCTAAATCACAAATTAAGGGAAGTTAATGTTTATATGAAAATCAAAAGTGTTGTGGGACAGGGATCCTTAAACAGAGCTCTACCTACATATTTATTCAAATACCCTGGGCTCACATTAAGGAAAAATTCTGTGTTGCCAACTTGTTTTGTAATGAACATTTTGTGTCGCCAAACTGAGATTTTATGTTGCCAATTTTTGTCGCGCATGAGATACTATACCTGTTCATTAGGGCTGCAATGATACATTAACATGACAATACATATCATGATACATATTCCGTCTTTGCATATTGCAGAGTTATCTTCTCTTGAGAGCATGTATTGATTGTTACGTCATTGGTTCGTGTGAGAAAATTGCGTCGTTTTCTCAAAAATTGATGACGTTACTCTCACAAACAAATGACGTAACAATCAATACCTGCTCTCAAGAGAAGATAACTCTGCAATACGCAAAGACGGAATAGTAACAGTAGAAGCAAAGAGAAAAGTTGTGTTGCAACGTGTTTATGGCAACTTTACAACTAGAAATTGAATTGGTTAAAAATGATCTTTCGATGTGCATGCCGAACTGGAGCTTTCACTCAACATATTGGAAGGGAAATGATTAGATTAAATTCAGAAACGACAAAATCCGAAAAATATCATAGGCGTATCGTGACATTCCAAATAATATTGTGTATTGTACCGAATTAAAAATATAGCGTTATGCACGATATATCGTTACAGCCCTACTGCTCATCATACTGTTTTGATAGAAAAGCACAATATTCGCACAAGTTCATGTTTCGTTCTGCATTACATTTGCGCTTTACAAAAACAAACATTTTTGTTGATGTGTTATAATGTTATTCCTATGCTAGACAAAATCTGCCGCTGCATGCAGACTCTACATACCTTCAAAGATGCACATTTGAGTCGACGGCGAGAGCTGACTGCCCTATTTTTAAACTAAGCACCATTGTAGAAGGAAGTGGAAATAATTACACTGAGGTGGCTGTCGAGGTATATCTGAATGTGGAGTAAAATATTGAGAACAATCTAATCAAGATTTTTAAGTCATTCACCCCTGAAGACTCATTTGATCTCTTCCAATTCAAAGGTTGGAACAGTTCATTATGAAATTTCAGGGGTGAATTAGTTAACTAAGCTATACTCTGTACATTTGTTTGTCAGGATGACTTTTTGGGACGGCCTGAAATGAAATTCTAAAGCCATACATTTTAATTTTCATTTTATCAAATCATTTAGTTGGCCTGAAGTGAAATTCTGAAGCTGTGCAATCTTTTATTCTACCAAAAAATGAAGGTCTGGTGGCATAAAAGAAAATTCTAAAAGTGTACATAGCTTTTTTATTCTGTCCAATCTGTGAGGTGGCCTGAAACGAAATTCTGAGGATTTTTGTTTTAAATGGCTAGGTTTGCAATAAGGTCAAAAGTTCATGGTGCAGTCACCCGCCAGGGTTACTCAAGTACATATGACCTAGATGCAAGTATCTACCTATATCCCCACGAGTAAAGAGAAGCTTAAAGAATGTAGTGAAACATAATATAAAATGTTGATTGGATTTGTAAGTAACTTGACGTTTGTCAATTACTTTTGTGTTCTCAATAAAGATACAAAACTCTACCTATATTTCTCCACGTTTTTTTTAAGAGATGTTTCAAAATTTCAAAATTTACATTGCAGCCAGTGAAATGATTTTATAATGATTGACTCCATGAAAATGTTTTATACTAGAATCTAGCTTCTTGCTTTCCTATAAAAGTACTCATATGCATGATCTTCATATTTTTTTATTTTGATTGCGTTAATTTAGTATAAAGTCTTTTCATGCCTGTCAATCAATACTGCCGATGTATCTCTTGCATTTGAAGTCCTCTCCAGCTTGCAGCACAAAGCCTTTGTTTCTGTTCCATTTTATCTTTGGTTAGTGTAACAGATCAGCTGAACGTTTTATCTTGATATCTGTGGGGGGGTTTCTTGTTCATACAATAGAAACATAACCTATTCACCCCTGAAATTTCACAATGAACTTTCCAACATTTGAATTGGAAGAGTTCAAATGTTATTTCAGGGATGAAAGATTGAAAAGTCATATTTCACCTCCGGTGATACCAGTATCTGCTTTTTTTAACTAAAATACATTTCAGAAATAGTTCTTCACCAAACGAAATGCTTTTTAACAATTTAAAAAAATATGCTGAAACAAAATTGAATAGGTCTTGGAAGGTCAGGAAATATTTATGCTGAGTTACCTAACCAAAGCATATAAAGTGGAGATGGAACCAAATTTTGATCAAATATTGACAATACGAGAAAATATGCCTTGCAACTTCTTGTATTGTAGGCGGAACATTCTGGGTATTCAGAACGACTCACAACTTAAGACTTGCCGCTATAATCCTTCCGATCCCATCTATAAATTCTGTCCAATTTTCGTATTGGGTGACATTGTGGCTATGGCTGGAGAAGACTACAAAAACATGAGTCAGTCGGTAATTAATCAAGCTTTAATACTTCCGTTACAAGTCAAATCGTTTAAATCTATAAAAGTTTCAACGTAATAAGTACAGCAAGTGAAAGCTGATATTATGTCCCCATCATGGAGAGGGGGCAAGTTAAGTTTCCCCTTGTCCTGTACTCTCCAAATTCACTTAACTCATTCACCCCTGAAATTTTATAATGAACTATTCCAGCCTTTGAATTGGAAGAGCTCAAATGTGTCTTCAGGGGTGAATGAGTTAATAAGTGATTTCAACTCTGATCAGATTTCAATCAACTTACCAGGATAATATAATGGCTGAGGATTACTATTATTCAAGATTCCAAGGTCAACATTACTATTTGAAGAAAATTGTCCCATTATCCCAATACTGGTAATAGAACAATCAAGTATGATTTGATTGGAAGGTTAATTTCTAGAAATACCTGTGATTATTTTTCACTAGCTATTTAACATGGATAAAACTTAAAGAATCATTTCTAAACAGATTTTGATTAAATTTTATACAGTGACCATGAAAATAGTAATAAAATAATAACAATTTGGTGGTATGTATATTGTTTGGAACAAAAAACGTTTTTTCCGTTTTTGATTTTTCGGTACAATATTCATATAATATTTTCATGTTTGTGGTTAAGTTAAAACATGATAGTACATATGTATGTTACTATTCTTCTACAGGGCGGTGTCATGCAGGTCCTTATCAACTGGGATTGTAACCTTGACTTAAGTTTAGAGGATTGTGTGCCGAAGTACACCTTCAGGAGACTCGACAGTGCTGATTTCTCTATATCTAAAGGTTTCAACTTCAGGTAACCAGGGGCAACAGTCCGTATCGTAGTGACCTAAAATTGTTGACCTATTTCTATCTCTCAAGACGTATCATACAGTCACAGGATTTCAAGATACATGTGTTATAGAAGGTCATCAGGTATAAGAAATATTTATGACATGTCGGATACAAACAGAAAACAGATCGGAAAATTTCCAAGTGTTTATGAAATAGTTTGGTCGGTTGATGCAGTAGATAGTGCACTCACCATTTACGAAGATGTCCAGGGTCCGATTCTCTGATAGTGCCTGAAATTTTATCACATACCTGTTGAATCTTGTTGTAGTAATACAGGCAATTGTCAGACCATGAAATACAACGTTCTGTATTGCACATGTGCAAAACGAAATGTTGTATTTACCCACTAGCCAGAACTACTTTTTGTGTCGCCTACGACGGATGTCGGAAAGACACATAGGGGTTTCATTTCCGATGGCGACAGTGGTGGGGTCAACAATGTTAAGGTTTTGCGTTTAGCTCTGTTTCTGACCAAGCTACACCAACAAAAACACGACCATAGATGAAGCATGGGTAGTGGAGCCCACTGCACTAAAAACATTTATTGATTTCTGCATTTTTTTGGTAAAAACCTCAAATTTTTTGACTTAGAAAAAAACTCAACGTTAAGGTTTTGCATTTAGCTCTTACATATTAGGCTGTTTCTGACAAAGTATAAGTGCTAGAGCAACCAAACTTGGGTCATAGGTGTATCATGGGGTGTATAGCTGAATGCATTACACTCTTTACTAGCATTTCAACGATTTCTGTGTTTTTTTGCTAAAAACCTCAAATTTCTGGACTTAGAAAAAAACTCAACGTTAAGGTTTTGCGTTTAGCTCTTGCATATTAGGCTCTTTTTGACAAAGTATAAGAGCTAGACCAATCAAACCTCAATCATACATGTATCATGGGTAGTAGAGCTCTGGATTTCTGCATTTTTTTCGGATAAAACCCTGAAATTTCTGGACTTTAAAAAAAAACAATGTTATGATTTTGCGTTTAGGTCAGTTTCCTTATGTACTATGACAAATGCTTATTATATTGACAAAGCGGGACAGGCAACACTTATAATTACGCATAATTCTTGTTATAGGAATCCCCTTGTCATGGCGAACTGAAAAGTTCCCAGTATTTGCAAAACATATCAAAGTTTATAAAATCTTTGTATCGATCTGTACCAAATACGGAAGGTATGTGATAAAAGCAAGACCACACACTTGTGTTTTTCTAACAAATTAGAAAGCGATCATTTATCGCGCGGACGTATGTATTCGTCCGCGCAATAAAACTCATGCTTTCTGATTCGTTAGAAAAACACAAGTGTGTGGTCTTGCATATGTATGGGGTAACCAGCACAAATTTGGGTTTTCTCCGTGTTCCGCCCACATTAAGACCACTCGCGGGCTAACACCCAGGCCAACAAGAGAGACTTATAAAATTCAAGATATAAGTTGATAAAACTTGTTTCATAACTGTTGTAAAATAAATAAAGTATAAATACTTAGGTCAAAGTTCCTTGTAAAATAAATGTCATTTTAAAAATTCAAAATATTTATTTTTAACTCTGTAGTAAGTGAAACTTCTAAGTTTCTCTTCTTCTTTTTTGAGAGAGAGAGAGAGAGAGATTTATGATGAACCAGGTGAACAAAGTATTCCACTGTTTTTCAGGTATGCGAAGTATTATAGGGATCCGGACGGGACTGAAGTAAGGACACTTTACAAGGCCTTTGGTATCAAATACATCATCACGGTTATAGGGCAGGCTGGAAAATTCAATGTTGTTCCTCTCCTGCTCAACATTGGCAGCGGCCTTGGTCTCCTAGCTATGGTAGGTTTTAATTTGATTGTTGATCAGCTCACCTATTCATGGGACCGGTCAAATTATGGTATGGCACAGCATTCGTTGTTTTGCCCTGCCCTTAGGGACTTTGTCCATGGAGGTTTAATATGGAAACAATTTAGATCCCCATACCATAACCATAAACAATTACTGGGTATGAAAAGTATGAATTAATTTATTTATTAAATTTATTCTTGGTACTGTTATTAGTACAGGAACAAAGTCTGCAGACTAATTTTTAGCTCACCTGGCACAAAGTGCCAAGTGAGCTTATGCCGTGGCGCGGCGTCCGTCCGTCCATCCGTCCGTCCGGCGTCCGGCGTCAATATTTTACTTTAAACGACTTCTTCTTAATAACTTAAAGGCCTAGGGTGTCGATATTTGGCCAGAAGCAAACTTGGATGAAGGGCTACAAAGTTTGTTAAAATTAATGACTTTCACCTATTTTCAAGGTCACAGGGGTCAAATATATCAAAAACTTTAAACATCTTCTTCTCAATAACTAAAATGCCCAGGGAGATGATATTTGGGCAGTATCATGCTTGGGTGATGGGCTACCAAGTTTGTTCAAATGAATGACCTTCAATTATATTCAAGGTCACAGGGGTCAATTGTATTAAAAAACCTTTAAACAACTTCTTCTGAATAACCAAAATGCCAGGGTGATGATCTTTGGCCAGTAGCATGCTGAGATGAAGTGCTACAAAGTTTGAATGACCTTCACCCATATGCAAGGTCACAGGGGTCAAATATGTTAAAAACTTTAAACAATTTCTTCTCAATAACCAAAATGCCCTGGATGATGATATATGGCCAGTAGCTAGCTGAGATGAAGGGCTACAAAGTTTGTTCAAAAATTACCTTCACCTGTATTCAAGGTCACAGAGGTCAAATATGTTTAAAACTTTAAACAACTTCTTCTGAATAACCAAAATGCCCAGGGTGATATTTGGCCAGTAGCATGCTGAGATAATGGGCTACCAAGTTTGTTCAAATGAATGACTTTGACCTTCTTTCAAGGTCACTGGGGTCAGATGTCTTAAATCTTCAAACAACTTCTTCTCAATAACCAAAATGACAAGTGTATTGATATTAGGCCTGTAGCATGCTGGGATGAAGGGCTACCAAGTTTTTTTAATTGAATTAAATTGACCCACTTTCAAGGTCACTGGGGTCAGATGTCTTAAATCTTCAAACAACTTCTTCTCAATAACCAAAAGGGCCAGGGTACTAAAATTCAGCCTGTAGCATACTGGGATGAAGGGCTACCAAGTTTGTTCAAATAAATGACCTTGACCAACTTTCAAGGTCACAGGGGTCAAATATGTTTAAAAACTTTAAACATCTTCTTCTGAATAACCAAAATGCCCAGGGTGATGATATTTGGCCAGTAGCATGCTGAGATGAAGTGCTACAAAGTTTGTTCAAATGAATGACCTTCAATTATATTCAAGGTCACAGGGGTCAAATATGTTTAAAAACTTTAAACATCTTCTTCTGAATAACCAAAATGCCCAGGGTGATGATATTTGGCCAGTAGCTAGCTGAGATGAAGGGCTACAAAGTTTGTTTAAAAATTACCTTCACCTGTATTCAAGGTCACAGAGGTCAAATATGTTTAAAACTTTAAACGACTTCTTCTGAATAACCAAAATGCCCAGGGTGATGATATTTGGCCAGTAGCATGCTGAGATAATGGGCTACCAAGTTTGTTCAAATGAATGACTTTGACCTTCTTTCAAGGTCACTGGGGTCAGATGTCTTAAATCTTCAAACAACTTCTTCTCAATAACCAAAAGGCCCAGGGGACTGATATTGGGCCTGTAGCATGCTGGGATGAAGGGCTTCCAAGTTTTTTTAATTGAATTAAATTGACCCACTTTCAAGGTCACTGGGGTCAGATGTCTTAAAATCTTCAAATAACTTCTCAATAACCAAAAGGCCCAGGGTACTGATATAGGGCCTGTAGCATGCTGGGATGAAGGACTATCAAGTTTGTTCAACTGAATGACCTTGACCAAATTTCAAGGTCACAGGGGTCAAATGTCGTAAAATCTTCAAGCGACTTCTTTTCAATAAGCAAAAGGGCCAGGGTACTGAAATTGGGCCTGTAGCATGCTGGGATGAAAGACTACCATGTTAGTTCAAATGAATGACCTTGATCCACTTTTAACCTAATGTCCTTGTTGGACGATCAAGGTCAGAGGCGTCATATATTTAAATCTTTTAATAGGTTCTTATAAAATCTTAAGATTACAAGTGTTAGATTAATAACAGGTGAGCGATGCAGGCCCATTGGGCCTCTTGTTTCTTTGGTCATGATTTTAAAATGGTTGTGATCCTCACCCTATAATCATATATGTTTGTGGACATGAGGAGATGAACAGAATCATGCTTCCTGGATTATCCAGGGATCTGGCTTCACCCATGGGGGCTTAGTCCCATGGTCATAACTTGTTTACAAATGTGACAAACTTGTCCTAGTCAAAGATTTTAAAAAATGTTATGAAACCAAATCTATCTCCTCAAAGTTGAGGCCCTGAGTGTATTGGTATGGACAGTGAATATAAGGGTATGGGCAGGGATTATAAGGGTATGGGCAGGGAATATAAGGGTATGGGCAGGGAATATAAATGTTAAAGTGTAGATTTAAAATATCTGGAATACATTAATGACTTATTCGATTGTGCTAATTTGTGTGCATATATTACAGAACTTTCCAGGGTAAGAACGAGTGCAAGAAATTTGTATTTGAACCCCATTTTATGTGTGTGACATCACAATTGGACAACAGCAACATGACGTCACGAAATTGGAAACATTTAGATGCTGCACTGTAGAAACTGTAATGTTTTTTTTATTGTTTCTGAGTTTATTCTAGTGATTCAAATGAGAGAAAATACTCTTTCATGACCAGGGGTGTAGGATAGGGAAATGATTAATTCCAAGTTTGAGATTTTCAAACTGGGGCAAAACCCTTGATTTCATTTCCTGATCCTACAACCCTGGTAATGAAAGAGTCTAACAGTCCCTTATGACTTAAAGATTTGTTTCTTTCTCTGTTTCAGGCAACTATTCTATGTGACGTGGTGGTGCTGTATGTGCTGAAAGCTAAGAATGTTTATCGGGAGAAGAAGTACCTTAATGTTGTTGGCGACGACGCCTATAAGGTAATAACATACCTGCAGATTGACCTCTTCCTATGACAGTAATCTTATACAGATTATCCCACTACAGTATGGTGGTCATTATTAGACAAAGTTGGTTTGGGAGGGGGGGTACTCCCATAACATGAGAGGCCGCTGGTCGGCCTTTTTTCAATCGGATATGATTTTGCCGACTGCGACCTCTCATTTCCGAAGCACTAATTCTTTGATGCAGTTTCCGCCCGAAATCCGGGCGGAACAAAATCGGCTTGAAAAACTCACATAAGTGGTTAACAGTTCATGACAACGATGTCTACTCACGGTTTATATAATATAGATCTCATATATATGTCACAGACACAAATATATAGTATATTACGGAATAGAACACTCAAAATACATGTCCATGTCGTTGTAGCACATCTCTGACCTACATTTAAAACATGGCTTCTGGATTAATACAAAATATCAGGGGGGATTTCAAACGGAACGAAATGATACGGAGTTTGTTTGTATTCCGCTTGTGAAACATTACATGTAATCCATTTTTGTATTAA